TTTTTTTTTTCTTTTATTTTTCTATACACATCAACCAATTAAGTGATTTTTCACGTCACACCGTTGAGAAGTCAAGTCAGATCTGACCATCCATCATCTATGGCTTTTAATTACTTGTCTCACAACATCCCGACCAAAAAAGAGCACCGGCGTCTATTAAACTTCTCTAGATAGGTGGTCCGGTCCTCAGTCAAGCTGGCAGCTGTGAAGTTGTTCAGATATCTCGAATAACTAGTCAGGTACCGGGGTGGACACCAAGTGGCCAACTGGACCTGATTGGCCTCCCAGTCATGGTAATATACCGTAACCACCGCAGCAACTCTGGGACGCTCGTCTTAGCGCAAGTGGGCAACTTATTTATCTAGAGAGCGATAACATAAGACGTCGGGTAGTATCCGACTACGCCTAAATAAGAAAAGGAAAAGAAGAAAAAGTCTGCCATGCCCCCCTATTGCCTCATCCTAGAATGTTCTGCCTAGTAGTTTACTACTACTACTGATCATGAAAATAGGGGTCCATTCACCGTTCATATCGTAGTCTTATCCTTTCTGGTGCATCTCTCCGGAGTATATTCCTTGACAAACTTTTCCTGGCGGATCCCACCAACATCAAACTATTGAATGCCTACTAGGAGTCCGTTCTAACCGAGAGTCGGGAGGAACCTCAGCCGAGGCTGAAACCTGGGCTCTGTAACAATACTGAGTCACAAAGGAAAAGAAATGGGTGAAGATGCAAGAAAATTACCATCACTATTGCATCATGGCAGATGGTACAGCGTAAAAAGTCGATATAGTAAGCCCTAAGGACGACTACTAACTGGACACGAGCTTGGACGGGTGTAGATCATCCCATCACTGATCTTGACAATCAGAACCCGGACGATGATCAGAGCGACAGCACCGAGTGGATCTCGGCAAAGGGTTCCAGACAACTTCGGCTTGTACTCGGTATCCAGCCCAGCCCTTCTTGTTATTCTCCGGATCCCGTACGACATTAGTACGGAGGGACTCACGAAACTGAGGACCAAATTTGCCAGAATTTCTTGGGACGTTTGACAAAGGACAATTTTTGGGAATAAAGTTTCCCCTTTGATTTGGGGACGGAAAAAGAACTCCCCATATGGAGTGCTTCGTCTCGGGAAATGATCGGGGCCAGTGTTTCAGACTGATGAGGGTGAGGGCTGTGTGGGTGATTGTTCCTTTCCCGCTACCCTCTATACTTAGTTAGATAAGCATGATTATTAACTAGTTAGTTAGTTAACTAGTCAGTTAACTAAAGAACATTGATATTGACCAAATGACATGTACTCCGTACATCCACGGTAATTTCCTCGTACCTCGACCTTACCCCCTCCTGTGGAAATTGCCAGCGGGAGGTTATATGCGAAGAAGCAATCTAGACTCAATCCCTCCTGATAACTTCCCGAACGCCACTGTTTCCGACCCTGCAGGTGGACAACTTTCCATAGACACGGGTAGATCGGTTTCATCTTAATTGGTGATACTCTCACGGCTTGGGATGAGTCTCCTTGACCTACTCCATAAAGAGACCCATCATTCGTACCGAAGCAGCCTCCTCAGGGTCCTTGATTAAGATCATCCCGCTGCTAATATATAGTGCCATGATGAGTGTAATAACAAGACGAAGAAAATAACTCACTGACCACCGCTTCTTTTGCGATGCTCAAAGTGACTGAGCCACAAAGGACACACAATGCAATTCTTCATCGCAAAACGCGCGAGTTGAGTTTTGCTGAGCATCTGGTTCGGAGTATAAAGTTATAAACTCCTTCGATTGTTTGGGGTTGTCTTCGTATGATGCAATTCTCTGCAGCCACCCGCGGGGGAGAATCCACCAGGGCGCCAGCCTTCGGGACTTCTCTCAACCTTCCATTCCATGGATTCAACTTTCTCCACTTTAAGAAAGCTCTTGGCCGTGTCTGACGTCCCCGACAAGAAGGCCCTTGTTACCATACTTTAAACAGTCTGTTACAACCCTGCTTCATAAAAAAGTATGACGACCCCCGCCCTCCAGACACTCCGAGCCCAATATAGTTCAACCTTGAAACGCTTTATCGCGTCGAGCAAGAACTTTGAAATCCTCACCTCGATCCCCGCTGGCCAATCCCACCTACCGGCTCACATTCCAGATGTCTTATACGTGCTGGATTCATCCTTCAATCCGCCCACTCTTGCTCATCGCAGGATAGCTGGTACCGCCCTTTTAGAGAGTTCAAGCAAAGCGCCGCGGCTTCTACTATTGCTTGCGACCCAGAATGCAGATAAACCTTCCAAACCAGCCTTGTTCGAGGATCGTCTTGTTATGATGGAACTATTTGCGAGAGACCTTTTGGCATATATACAGCCACATTTCTCGACTTCAGAGAACGAGAGTCTTCCAGTAATCGATATCGGTCTCACCAAGAAACCGTATTTCGTGGATAAAGCCGCAGAAATAGATATTGCGGGGATTTATCCGGAATCGCTTGAGCAAGTTCATCTCACTGGCTATGATACGTTGATCCGGATCTTCAACCCCAAGTATTATCCGCCAGAACATACCCTCCAGCCATTAGGGCCTTTTCTTACACGCCATCGGTTGAGGGTCACCATGCGACCGGGTAGCGAGTGGGGTGATGCGGAAGAGCAGAAGCAATTCCTAATCAACATGGCCCAGGGCAGCATGGAAAAGCAAGGCGGCAAACCTGAATGGGCTCAACGGATTCAGCTCGTGGAAGGGAGACGACCGGATGAGAGACCAGTGAGCTCTACATTGGCCAGAGAGGCAATCCGGTCGAATCCCCAAGATTTGGAAGGGCTGGTCCCCGACAACGTCCGGGAGTTCATCCTGTCCCAACAACCATATTCGGAGTAAAACGATATCACAACATTAATGAGATCTTTGTTGCGTGGTAGAGTAACTGAGATGCGCCGATGAGCGCTACCCGTCGACGATCTATTTAATACATGACGCCCTCGTTTAGGAGTACGTATATTCGCCCAGGACGACTAAAAACTTTTCCATCATAAGATTCAACCAAAACACCATACCGCCACGACGCCCGCACTACGTTTTAATAGAGTCATAGTAGCATAAAAACCACGCATTATCGTACAGCCCAGAGACCACGGCGCAAATGTCGACTTTTAATCGTCGTCCTCTTCTTCCCTTTTCCCCAAAGTATACGCAAGTCCGCCACCAACCATGTTGGCCAAGCAGAGACCCATGGTCACACCGCGGACGATGCCCCGGGCACCCCATTTCTTCATGAAGGGCTGGCGTCGCCGACCGGCAAGCAAAAGGTAAAGTCCCGACCAGGCAGCGCTAATTCCTGCGCTATCGGTCTTGAAACCTTGAAGATTGGCATAGCTCGTGAACAAAAGGACGGGTGGGAAGAGCATCGGAAGTGCTTGGAAGGGTCGCATGTACTGTGCGGTAATGAAGGTTGCGAGGAGCGTCGGGGTAAAAGGATTCTCTGTAGAATTTTGATGTTAAATATGAGATCTGCTGCAAAAAGACAGATAAAAATGGCAAAAAAAGGATCAATGGTCCAGGGAATGCTCACCTCCCCATGCTTGAGCTTTTTGCATGAGAGACTGCTTGGTCTTCTCCACTGCAGATTCCGAACCGGCCATTGTTGCGATCGGAGATTTAGGAGATCGAACTCAAAGAGTTGTAGCGAAGAATCAGTAGTTTATAAGGACGGAAAGAGAACGATTAAATTTGTTCAATTGGTTGCGACTTTGAGGTGTCGCTAACCGTGAAGCTGCTTGTGGAAGCTCATAGGTAACTAATAGAGTGATACGCTTTCCTGACTAACGTCTTGTCACCCGCGGCTTAGTGGCCGTCAGTCAACATAAATCTGAACCTTCGAAAAGACACCACGTTTATCTATCAGTAATCACAGACCAACTTTACCCCCGGACTTACACCAACCAGCATTCTCAACGCAGGGCTCCAATCAGCCAGTCGCCGGAATTTGCAAAACATCGTTACTGGATTTTCTCAGCGTCGTTTGCGAAAAAAAACTAATCCTTATCGGAACCCTTACGGACACATTCTCCTCCGACAGCCTTCGGATCCGCCGTCATCCTCTTAGGGAAGGAAACGAGGAACAGCAGGAAGGAGGTCGAGTTAGAGGCCGATAAAGACAACGGATATATTTTTGCTCGGGCGCAGGATCAGAGCCTTGCCACTATGCCGTCTGCCACAGCGTCTGGGGTAGACAATGGCGGCTCTGCGAAATCCCGCGAGCACAGCCAAGGAAATCAAGACCGCAAATATACCCCCGATCAAAAGGCAGCCGTACTACGGATACGAAAATGTTCGTCAACTGCGTATTACGAAATTTTGTCTTTAGAGAAGACGGCCACGGACAGCGAGATCAAGAAGGCGTATCGCAAGTTGAGTCTGTTGACACATCCTGATAAGAATGGGTATGAGGGGGCCGACGAAGCGTTCAAGAGTGAGTTTTCAGCTGCTTAGGTTATCGCTTCGTGCTTCGCTGCTAACGTTTGGAATAGTGGTGTCGCGCGCTTTCCAGGTCCTATCGGACTCAGACAAGAAGGCTAAGTATGATAAATTTGGAGGAGATCCGGACAGCAGATTCGGCCCCAGCTCTGGGCCTTCGGGTGCCTCTCCTTTCAGCGGATTTGGTGGTGGCTTCCCACGTTCAGCAAACTCCGGTGGTAACATGTACGAAGAGGAAATATCGCCGGAGGAGTTGTTCAATCGCTTCTTCGGTGGCGGTTTTGGTGGTATGGGAGGTGGCTTCAATACCTTTGGTACGACTACTACCTAAATTTCCCTTTGTTGTAGAGCTTCTTACTGACTCGCTACGTAGGTGGTCCTCAGTTTGTATTCAACATGGGAGGTGGCCCCGGATTCCGGGTCCATCAATTCGGCGGTGCTCGGCCTCGCAGGAGGCCGCGCGAAGCGAACAGTCAGCCCGAACCAGCGCCTTCAGCCTGGGCAGTTATTCAACAGTTCTTGCCTCTCATCCTTCTTTTCGTCTTCCCTCTGCTTTCTTCTCTCTTCTCCGGCTCCTCCACTCCCGCAGGCCCCTCATACCGATTTGATGCAGCAGTACCCCCACACACGATGCAACGGACAACGCCGAAACTCCATGTCAACTATTTTGTTAACCCGGGTGACATAGAAGACTTCAGCGCGCGGAAGTTCCGCCAGTTAGACCAACGGGTCGAAGTGGACTACGTCAGCAAGCTTCGGTATGCGTGTGAGAGTGAAATACATGCCCGGGACCGTATGATTCAAGACGCCCAGGGCTGGTTTTTCCCCGACGTAGAGAAAATGAAGGCGGCAAGATCCATGGAGCTTAAGAGTTGTCGGCAGTTAGACTCGTTGAAAGGAAGATATTAACAGACATGACGACTTGTTTCGCTGTTGCTTTATTTTTACTTTTTACTTCAACAAATACCGTGACGTTGTTTTATTAGCCGCATCCATTTCATTCATACTTAATGTTGTCCCGTCCAGTACTTTGGGGGCCTTTTCGTTTCCAATTAGATGTCAATATATGTGCAGAAGTTTGATGGCGTCGCATGGTCAGAGATGTTGCTGGGAAGTTTATAACGATATGTTATTTTAAAGGGTATGAGCATCAATTATTGTACATGGGGAAATAAATGGACTGTTTGAGAAAATTAAGCGATTGTAATAGATTAATAGTTACCTATACTGATACGGCGGGCAGTAATCGGTGTAGTTCAGAGCGGAGAAGATGAACGATTGGCGGCAAAACCCCGACACAAGCTTAGTTAATGCAGACGAATCTGAGCGACTGCAACAGAAGGTCTTTCGCTCCCAGAGGTACCTAATCTCTCACATTCATTCACTTGGCCTCTGGTTCTCAGTTCGTTCCCCGCAGTGTGACCCATCGATCTGAGAACCCGGCACGATTAGGTGACCATCGATTCATTTTTACCCATCCTTTTCTCGCTGGTTTTCTCCTCATCGATTTTGCTCCGCATTTTCTGCCCCGCTGGTTGACAAGCCTTTCATTAGGTACGGGGCACCGTATCTTTAATACTCAGAGATGTCCGACAATCTCTCTGAAGCGGACAAGGTTGGATCTTGATTTTCTAGAATTTTTCTCTTTGCCGTGGTCCTCGGTAGAGTGGTTCTAACTTGAGTAGATCCGCAACAAGCGCTTAGCAAAGCTTGGAAACCCGTCCCCATCGTCGAGATCAGAGGGCGTAGAGTCGTCAAGTCGGCCCCAATCTCCCTCGACGCCAGCACTTTCCCGAACACAGTCCAACGCCGGCAGTGCAGCGAGTTCCAGAGCAGCGTCGCCCAGACCCGACCTACAGTCCGAAGGGAAGCGGATCAAGATCACACCAGCCGTCTCGAACATTACAGGCCCCGATCGGTCACAATCGGTCACCCCAGTTTCCGGCACCCCACCGCCGCCGAGGGCAGAAGAGAGTCTTGAGGCGTTTGAGGATCGTACACTGAGCGCTGTGTTCAAGCTGACGTTGAAGGGGGACCGCCAACGGGATATCCACGGACAAAGATTGACTTACCTTTCGGGCCTCAAGAGTGAGCTCGAGGAGCAAGGTCGCGGCCTTCGTATTGAGACAGCTGTCCTAGACCAGGCTCTTCTGGAAGCTGCTTCAAATGCCCCTCAGCAGAAGCCCTTGGATTATTTGCTACCGTGCTGGCGGAGGATATCTAGGCTGCACAAGGGATTCCGTCGTGCTCGCGAAGATGACCCGAAGTTCAACGTCATATGCGAGGCCCGGCGCCTTTGCTTGAGTTATTGCATGTTTGCGATTACAATGCCGGAGATGTTTGGGTATGTATTGCGCTTCACCTAGGTGGAGGGTGAGATACTAACAGGTTATATGCTAAGGATCGAACCGTCCGGACAGTCACCTCTTAAGCCTTACCTTCTCTTGGACCCCGAGGATGATAAAGGGGTGGATTTTGAGCTTCTAAGTGAGGCTGTCAAAAGGTTTGAAGAGGATGAGAACATCAAGCCAGCATTCATTGCGGCGGTAGAAGAAATGAGCAAGGATCTTGCGGCCATGACTATCAACGACGATTACAAGCCCTACGTAACAGTATGTTCTGTCATCCCACCTTCTACCTGAGTGTCTTGTCAACCTCATTTACAGGCCCTACGAAACCTTGTCCGCCACGCGGTTGTGGGTGCAGCGATCACAGAGTCATCCTTGTTCAATGAATCTCGGGAGGCTGCAACATTTGAGAAGGACACGTTACTCGGGCCCTGGTTCCGGCTATCGCCTCTGCAGGGTGCAGTGACTATGACCTATTTCTCAAGCCCCAAGACGAGGGACCAGGGCTATATCCTGAACGCACAGCGCTCACAGCGGATGATGCAGCAGATGCTGAGTTCGGATCTTTTCGACATAATAAACCATCTGATTCGTGCATCGAAAGATGCACGTGAGAGAGTTCTGGATTGGTTCGCCGCAGCTCTGAATATCAATCACAAGCGACGCGCTATGCAGGTTGATCCGAATACTGTGTCCTCGGATGGTTTCATGTTCAATCTCACGACGTGTCTGGACCAGCTTTGTGAGCCTTTTATGGATGCCAACTTTACCAAGGTAGACCATTCTGAATATATTACATGATATATGTCCTGCTGACTCGGCCATTAGATCGACAGGATTGATGCAGGATATTTGCATCGGAACCCACGAATCGATATGAAAGATGAGACCAAAATCAACGCCGATCAGCATGCGTCTGATGCATTCTATGCTAAGAAGGTTGATGGTACCTCTAATTTCATCACAGAGATCTTCTTCCTCACAGTCGCTGCTCACCACTATGGTAGCGAATCATTGACCTCAAAGTTGGATCAACTGGAGAAGGACCTCCGACACCTGGAGAACACAATCAACAAATTCGAGCAAGAACGGCACAAGTGGAGCAACAACCCAATGCAACTCAGGGTCTTTGAGCAGGCCTTAAAGAAGTACAAGGACAAGTTGGATTTGGGTCTTGCTTTGAAGTACAGTCTTCAAGGTGTGTTGTTCGACGACCAGTGGCAGGCCCGTTCCATGCTGTTTATGCGCTATGTTATTGTCTTCCTCCTGAGACTTGTGTCTGGCAAGAACTTCCCCAAAGAGCCCATCCAATTGCCTCTGCCCGAGGAGCAGCAAGAAGTTTGGAAGTGTCTTCCTGAGTACTTTGTGGACGACATTGTGAGCAATTTCAAATTCATCATGTGGTGCATGCCTCAAATCATTACCGCAACGCAGGGTGACGAATTGGTAATGCTCTGTATAGCCTTTTTGGAAAGCACTAGCTATATCAAAAACCCCTATTTGAAGGCCGGTCTAGTCTCTATTCTCTTCCGAGGAACATGGCCTCGCCCTGGCGGTGCGCGGGGCGTGCTGGTGGACCTCCTGAACTCCATGCCCTTTGCCAACGAGTATTTGCTGCATGCTCTTATGAAGTTCTACATTGAAGCCGAGCACACGGGCACCCATACCCAATTCTTCGACAAGTTCAACATCCGTTTTGAGATCTTCCAGATCATCAAGTGCATTTGGCCCAATACGCTATACCGTGCCAAGCTTTCTAACCAGGCCAAGCGGAATCTGGACTTCTTCGTGCGCTTTGTGAATTTGCTCCTCAACGATGTGACTTTTGTGCTTGACGAGTCGTTCGGTGCCTTTATTACCATCCATAAAACTCAAACGGAATTGCGTAATGGGGCGGGCATGGATCCCACCGTGCGACAGCAGAAAGAGGAACAACTTGCCTCTGCTCAGCGCAATGCGAAGTCTTACATGCAATTGACCAATGAAACAGTCGCCATGCTTAAGCTCTTCACCGAAGCTCTGGCCGATTCATTCACCATGCCGGAAATTGTGCAAAGACTGGCAGACATGCTTGATTACAATCTTGATGCGATGGTGGGCCCCAAGAGCTCGAGTCTCCGTGTCGACAACCTGCAGGAGTACGGGTTCAATCCACGAGCCTTGTTGAGCGAGATTGTCGATGTGTATCTGAACTTGATGAGCAAGGAGAATTTCATTGTGGCCGTTGCTCGGGATGGACGGTCCTACAAGCCGGCCAACTTCGAAAAGGCAGCGGAGATCCTGCGGAAGTGGTCACTCAAGTCCCCTGAGGAGCTCAGGCGGTGGGAGCAGCTACAACGCCGGGTGCGGGAAGCCAAGGAGGCCGACGAACAAGCAGAGGAGGACCTCGGAGAGGTCCCCGACGAGTTTTTAGGTATGCTCTGGGAGCTGTTGCTCTTAGGATTCATGGCAGTTGCTAACAAATTTTTCAGATCCTCTTATGTATACACTGATGGAAGACCCTGTGATTCTTCCTGGGTCGAGAGTGTCCATCGATCGCTCCACCATCCGGTCTCATCTTCTGAGTGACCCTCATGATCCTTTCAACCGAGTCCCCCTCAAGATGGAAGACGTCACGCCTGGTACGTAATCCGTGCCGTCGCTTTTGCAGCTCCATGTTACTAACTCGTCCGGTGCAGATACGGAGCTCAAGGCCAAGATTGAGGCGTTCAAGGCGGAGCGAATGGCAGCGCGCAGAACACCAGCGACGCAAAGTGCATCTGAGACGATGGACACGTCTGCTGACTGATGGGATATCCCTTTGTTTATGAGTTGGCGGTTGTTGGAAACGATTCCACATCCACGATATTCCTAAAAATTGGAACGATACGAGCTTTGTTTTTATTGTTAATGGTTTGGATCGGAGTGGGCTATTCTTTTCTTGCTCCTTCACGACTTGTAGCTTCGCTAGATGTTGAGGCTTAGCATAGACGAACAGACTAAAACTTATGTTATATCGGGTTTTACCGTCAGGTTACAGGGGGATCTCGTTTCAAAATGAATTTATAGAAGTATGTGGCCAGTAAATGAACTGGATCATCACTTGCATAAACGGGTGCAGGGGATCCATGTTCAAGCCACCAGATGCCGCCCGTAGAAAATCTCCCGTTGGATGAGTTCGACTACTTCGGTACCTCGCAGATGGGCGAGAGCTAACTACTACTAGTTATACCAGGTATGCCCCGGAAAGGCTCCACTCAAGATCTTCACGTCCTTGGGTTTGATCTGGCACTTTGAGATTGCAGATCCAGAGGAAAATATGCAGTGGGAGTACATATGGGGAGGGCTACGCTAATCCCTATAGAGAAGATCGACTGACTTGAGTCTGTTTTTCAACAATCGAAACAAACATCCGAATTTATTCATTGCCAAACCTGGCATCTATATTGTGACCTCATAATCAGTCACCAATTTATTCCCTTTCTTCCACTCCAACCCCCCCGGTTCACTCACCACGAATTAACCCATCTTCAACAGCCACCATAACCGGACACAAATAAACAATGGGACCAACCATCTTAACCCTCAATTCCCTCCCGCCCCCCCAAGATCTCCTTAACCCGACCCCAGAAACATACTCCCAAATCCTCACTATCTGGCAATACTTCGCCGGCGTAAGTTCCCCACCAAAACAAATGAACAAGCACACCCAACTAACCCACACAAACCCAGTTCACAATAGTCCTATGGCTCACCACCTGGTTCCCAATGGGTAAAACATCCCTAAAATCCTCCATCTTCAATATCCCCGGCCGCATCGCCTGGACCACCATGGAACTCATAGCGCCCCTAAACCTCATCTACGTGATGAAAGCCCTCGTCGCAAGACTCAGCACGGACCTCACGTCCCTACCGCTCCCGAATCAGATCGTAGCCGCGCTGTATCTCATCCACTATGCCAATCGCGCCGTCATCTCCCCGCTGTTCGCGGCCCCGAGCATGTCCCCCATTCATGCTCTTATCGCCGTCAGCGGTCTGGCGTTCAACTGGATTAATTCGACTTGTCTTGCTGCGTGGCTGGTGGGGTACCATGCCCCTGTTACCGGGTATCGAACGGATCAGTTTGGTGGTCTGGGTGATGGTACCAGACCAGCGATCTCAGATTATCTCCCCTACATAGGATTCATCCTCTTTTTCGTCGGGATGACAGGGAACATCATCTCCGAACGAACATTCTTCCGACTCCGCCGCGAAGAAGCAAACAAACTGCACACTCAGAAGGACCATTCAAAGAATCCCGGGAACAAGTACTCCAAAGTCTACGTCATCCCGCCCGCAAAGGGTCTTTTCCGATACATCCTCTACCCGCATTACGTCTTTGAATGGCTCGAGTGGACTGGTTTCATCCTCGTGGGCACGGCGGTGTATCCTGCGTCTGGTGTGGTTGGGCCTGAGATGAGACTTGTGTCGTGGTTGCGTCCTGCGGCTGCGTTGGCGGAGAGGTTGCGGGTGCCGTTGCCGTTGCCGGCGGTGGTATTTGTGGTCAATGTGGTGACTTCGATGGTGCCTCAGGCGAGGTTGGGGAAGAGGTGGTATTTGGGCCGGTTTGGGAAGGATAAGGTTGCTGGGAGGGGCGCGGTAGTGCCTTTTTTGGGGTGGTTGTAGTTTAGATCTATGGTTTGGTTACTGCTGGTTCTTATACAGGACTGAATATACGTAATAGCTTCTTTTAAAGCTGGGTGCAATCAGTTATCAGGTGGTGTGATAAAAGTAGAAAGAGAAGTATGAATATGAGCCGGATTCGCCGGTGTTATTGTAAGATTTAAATATTCTTGTATATATATGGTTCATCAAAATCCGACTGGATGACCATGGTCTTGTCCGTCTTTCCTTACTTGTTATTCCTATCAACTTCTTGGTCAAGGGAAACAGGGATGAAAAAGGTTTGAAAATAATTAGCTGGAAGGACAATTAGATAGGGAGGTCAGACAAAAAGCCTAACTTCATTCACCAGTGGTATCATAACATCTCTATCCCAATCATCGCCTGGTCATTGTATGTTTTGCTTTATCTACGGAGTATTTAGGTTTCATATATGCAATTACGTCAAAATGGGTTTGCACAGAGGCTTCGCATCAGCGTTATGCCTAGCGTATTGAGATTTTACCTGCCCAGATCTTCAAAGATAATACGCTACTTGGTGACTACGAATGACAAACAACATCTACAAGACAAAAAATTTGGAGAAAAAAAAGTCGATGTGAAGTCAAGCTCGGCTGTGACACCGGCTCGTATTAAATTTTGAGGTGAAAACCACCCATGTATGTATGATTATACACATTGTTGAAATATTTGGAAATCATCGGCGAAATCCAAGAGACAATCTCACTTATGCTACCTCTCGCAGAGCAGGCAGCATGAAGGATTAGAAAGAAACAACCATCACCCCAGAAGCGGGGAATGCTGAACTTGCAATCATGTCAATATTTGGCTGACGCCGATGTTGAAATCGTGAATGTTGAAAACTCCGTTGACCCCCTGGATATCTCTAGAAACCCTGAACCCATTATGTTGAACTTTTGGTATCATCATCGTAACTCATCATAAAACGAAACATATTCGTCTCCCCCGAAGCGACAGGTTGAGAATGTCGCCCCTTCATGGGTTGATATTAAATAAGGTACACCATTTATTTGGTGTGCTTCTGGCGGTAGTACTTGGCCGCGTTGACCATGTTGGTCAGAGCAGCCTTAGTCTCGGGCCACTGACGGGTCTTGAGACCGCAGTCAGGGTTGACCCACAGCTGGTCAGGACGGAGGTACTGGAGCATCTCGTCGATGCGGTCCTTGATCTCCTGCTCGCTGGGAACACGAGGAGAGTGGATGTCGTAGACACCGGGTCCGATGTGACGGGGGTAGGCCTCGTCAATGAAGACCTTGAGCAGCTTGGCATCAGACTTGCTGTTCTCGATGCTCAGAACATCGGCATCCAGAGCGGCAATAGCGTGGAAGAAGTCCTGGAACTCAGAGTAGCAGAAGTGAGAGTGAATCTGAGTGCCATCGGCAACACCGGTGGTGGCCAGGCGGAAGGAGCGGACAGCCCACTTGAGGTAGTCCTCACGCTCCTTGCCGGAGCGGAGAGGGAGACCCTCACGGAGGGCGGGCTCGTCGACCTGGATAACCTTGATACCAGCAGCCTCAAGGTCAACGACTTCGTCACGGAGGGCAAGAGCGAGCTGCTGAGCCTGGACGGACTGGTGGACATCGTCACGAGGGAAAGACCACCGGAGACAGGTGATGGGACCAGTGAGCATACCCTTCATGGGCTTCTTGGAGATGGAGACGGCGTACTTGGACTCCTTGACGGTCATGGGGGCAGGACGGGAGATGTCACCGACAACGATGGGAGGACGCACGCAACGAGATCCGTAACTCTGGACCCAGGCGTGGGTAGTGAAAACGTAACCGGTGAGACGCTCACCGAAGTACTGGACCATGTCGTTACGCTCAGGCTCACCGTGAACGAAGACATCCAGGTCGAGCTCTTCCTGGATCTTGACGACATCTTGGATCTCCTTCTCAATGAACTTCTCGTACTGCTCAGCGGTGATTTCACCCTTGGTGAACTTGTTACGCTGGATACGGATCTCCTTGGTCTGAGGGAAAGATCCAATGGTGGTGGTAGGGAAGAGAGGAAGGTTGATAGACTTGCCCTGCTCGGCAAGACGGACGGGGAAGGCAGATTTGCGGTTATGCATCTCCTCAGTGACAGCAGCCTGGCGTTCCTTGACCTTGGGGTCGTTGGTGCGGCTGGACGAGGCACGGCTCTGGACAGACTTGGCATTGGCCTCGAGCTGCTCACGGACGGCAGCAGGGCCCTCGGTGACGGCCTTGGCGATCACAACGACTTCGGCAGTCTTCTCGACAGCGAAGCTGAACCAGTCACGCACCTCAGCGTCAAGGTTCTTCTCGCTTGCAAGGGTGTGGGGGACGTGGAGGAGGGAGCTGGAAGTGGCGACGATCACACGGTCCTTGCCAAGCTTCTGAATAGCCAGCTCAACCTTCTCGATGGCGGTCTTGAAGTTGGTCTTCCAGATGTTACGGCCATCGACAACACCAGCAGAAAGGACCTGGTTGGGGCCAAGGGCGCCAGCGACGGTGTCGAGCTGCTCAGGGTTGCGGACAAGGTCAATGTGGATACCGTAGAGGTTGTGAAGAGCAGGAAGGACATCAATGTTGTGAACGATGTCACCGAAGTAGGTGGCGAGGACGATGCGGGGAGCCTTGTCACCGAGAGCGCCGAGCTTCTCGTAGGCAGGCTTGAAGGCATCCTTGGACTTGGCGGGAAGGTCAAAGACGAGAACAGGCTCATCAATCTGAACGTCCTCAACGCCAGCCTCCTTCAACTTCTGGAGGAGCTCGACGTAGACAGCGACGAGGTCATCAATCTTGGAGATGGGGTCAACGGTCTGACCACGGTCAGCCTTGGCAAGGGTCAGGAACGAGACAGGTCCCAGGATGACGGGACGAGTGACGATGCCGGCCTCCTTGGCCTCAAGGAACTGAACAACAGGCTTGGGCTGCTCAGCAAGCTTGAAAGTCTGGTTGTCCTGAAGAGTAGGCTTGACGTAGTGGTAGTTGGAGTCAAACCACTTAACCATTTCCTGTACACCAGTATTAGACCTATTGACCAGGACAAGGCGGACCAGTATAACATACCAAGCTAGGAACATCGATGGCGGCCTGGCCATCCTTGGCAGGCTTCTGGAGACCACGACCCATGGCGAAGTACTCGTCAACGGGGTGGAGGTTGTACTTGCTGTATCTCTCGGGGATAACCTAATTGAGGAAGTAACGTTAGAAAAAGGCATGGTGATAGACAATTAATATTAGAAACGAGGGGAATAACCACTTACACCGAACATCTGAATGTGGTCGAGGACCTGGTCGTAGAAAGCGAAGTCATTGCTGGGGATGATGTCGACACCAGCATCCTTCTGGATCTTCCAGTGCGCCAGACGGAGTCTCTTTCCCTCGGCCAAGAGCTCGTCACGAGAGATCTTCTCACCCCAGTACGCCTCAGTGGCCTTCTTCAGGTCACGAAGCTTTCCCATACGAGGGAAACCCAAGACAGAGCTATAGACAAGAGAGGTCAGCGTTACCCAAGCCAGAGAGTTTGTTGAAAATTCGAGAGAGGAGGGAATTGACATACGATTGAACCATCCTGATAGATATGTGAGTACGGATTAAGGGATAAAAGGTACGAGGAGGGGAAAATGAGGTAGAGAAACAAGGTAGAATTCTTGTCAAAAAGAAGAATGGATCAAAAGATACAAGAGACAAACACCGTCTCTTGCAGAGGGAAGGGGTCAAAAGGGGGAAATGGGATGAAAGAGAATAGAAGAGAAAGAAAAAAGCAAGAGGGAGAGAAGAAGGAATAAATAAGAATGGGAGCTGGGGATGGGGATGGAGGGGAAAAGACAGAGAGACAGAGTGGAAACGAGGATGACATGAAAAGATCAAGTAAATGGACCAATCGGGGGGAAGATTGGATGGAGGGGCAACGTATCGTTACGCCGACTCGCCGACAATACCACTAGAGCTCGTTCTGATACAAGTTGGGGAAAGATCAGGATGGCGTGATTGCCCCCATTTCTCTCCCAGACCCGTAATTTTAAGTAATTTTAGGTCTCCGTCCAGACTGATCACCACATAAGGTACCAACCAGAGTCTCCAGATTGGGTCAAGTTTTGCGATAAAGGGACTGGGCCTTATCTTTTTTCAGTTTAGCCCGCTCACGGACGCTCCGGGATCGGCCACTCTTTACTGGTTGGTACGATACAAGTATATCCTGTATCATACTAAACTACGTGTGATTCACCTGATAAGGTACATACAGTATATACAACTTTTTTTTTTTTGGGCAATTTGGGATTCCCACCAGTTTCAATTACTGTAAGACTCAAAGAAAAAGGGAGAAAAGTAGGAGAGAGAGAGAACTCATATTCTGGCTCCATCTGAATTTATCCATATGAATTCCGAATACACTACACTCCAAAAAAAATACATCAATGCAGTTTGTTCATCTCCCAATGAGTACACTACGTACTACTCAAACCCCACCGGGAGAATCATCGGCCTTTGACACATGGCCGAGGTGAGGTGAGATCAGAACCCCGAAGACTCGCACAATACCCGAGTAATGCGTGAGATCTCTATCAGATGGTAAACTCTTGAATAACGCTCGTATGCTTGATCAGCTAATAATTTTTAAACAGATGTGTATTCTGAGCATCGACGTGCCGCTACATAGATCGTGCCTCCCATAACCACATGTGATAGACCGCCATCTAGGACGAGAAAACAAGGAACGAATCTTATACTAGTAGTATCATCCGCCTCGGAGTGGATATGCGTTAATAAAAGCAATATGGACTCGTCGGTTATCCTTCACTTTGGTGATCAAGACTATATGTAGTCGGGGAATTGAAGGGGAACTGTGAGCTCCGGCGGAAACCATTACGTATTGCAACGAAGCGCAAGAATACTCCGGACAATTGGTCTCCTTACTCGGGAGATAGATGCCATGCTATCCAACAGCACATTGGAAGGTACTGTCATGGAAGTTTTCGCAACTTCCCAATTTTTGTTGGGCTTTAAGAAACTAGTACTGTCGACTTCACCATGCGCACCTTCCTTGACAGGTTGGAGACCCAAAAGGGACGGAAGCACTCTGTGCTTCCCAGCGAGCTTCCTCAATCTAGCCAACGACGCATTCAAAGAACTACTGTCTTTACTAGTCGACAAACCTACGTAGCCATATAATGGGTCTCCTCTCCTGTCCTTGGTTCAGATGGGGCCGGAAGCACCCAGCGGAACCAAACGACACGTCTTGCTATCAATTGGCCCGGGTAGAGTCTCCCACTTCATCGGAGGAACAAGCGGAAGGTGATGATTATTCGATGCTTGATTGCCAATGCCGTGCATGTAAGCACTGACCGTGACAGGCGTACCTTCATCGACGGAAAGTGGGAGCATTTGTGAACACCAAAGAGGCTCCTCTGGCCTATCAGAGAGATTGCGCAGACGATTCTCCAGAGAAACCAACGCAGGGCCTAAAAACACTGACAAGAAGGCCAGAAGCTCATTTCTCCCATTCACACCCAAGCCGACAAATGCCAAACCGAATCTAATCGCCTCAGATGGCTTCCCAAGCAGTCTGATGAGCGTCAGAGGTTATGATAGCGATGCACAATTTATGGACACCTCAAAGCATCTCAATAATGCGTCAGAGAGTCCGTACAATAGTCCTAGTATTTGGGGGAGTGTGTCACCTCTTGCACAGCCCTATTATGAGACAGAACTGGATGACCCGGGTGAAGAACTGGCGAGAGAGAGCAGTTTGGTGGTTGATGGTCCATTTTCAGACCAAAGTGACATGGAAAGGCCCCAATTGCCATGGCATCCACGGGACTATCCACACTGGGGCCCGCTGCCACCTATCACTCACATTACGGATCATGAACGTGCGCGTAAGAGGGTTGGAAGCCCCTATAGTACAGGGTTCTTTGAAAATCCCGGCCGGTACTCTACAGCCAACCGTGGACGCCTCCCAGGTTATCCAGGACGCACGCCTATTTCTCCAATGCCGTGTACAACGTCTGTCGATTCGGTATATGGACCCTCTTCTCAACTCTCAATCAGAAAGAGGCGACAGCCGCCCCCGATGGAGCTGAAATCTGAGAGTTATTCGATCCATCTGGGTAATATGGATATATCGAAAAGACTGGCGTCTCCCTCCATATCGCCTCGAGCCTTATCTGAAAAGCCATCATTTGACGGAAATGGGCGCGACAAAACCACAGGGGTGAGAAGCGCATCTAATCAAGGCTACGATCGAACTAACGTAGACACAACACAAGCACCAACTGAGAATGTGCAAGAGACGAACTTGGCAACATCGCGAGCAAAGGATTCGTCGTCATATTCCCGCAGTACTAGTTTCTCATCTGGTTTCTCCAAATACCAATTTGAAACAAAGGTTTTCAGTCTTCCAGACTCGGTGAGAGAACCAATGAGAAATCCTTACGCCGATATCACTAGCCTGAATCTGTCTTGTCAATCACAAGAAACTGCCGGAGATAGTCCAAACATCCCAACTGCTGCGAGTCCTTGTGATACTGGCGGACGCGACTCGCAAAGTAAATCTCCTAGACCATGTGAAATAGATCCATCGGTTGCTCCTCCTAGAGCTGACCTTCAGAGTAACGCAGGCACGGCTGCTTTACCATCGCGCCAGGTCAGCGTTGGATGGTTGTCTGGGGGTCGTCGTCTTGGCTACGGGTACACGCTGGTACCAGCAGATGACAAAGGAGACAACCTATCCCCAGAAGATACCTGCTCACTAAAGACATGTGATCTGAACAGTGCATCTACAGTTGGGAAGGGCCATAGTAAAAGATCTGCAAGCACTGTTGGCAAGCCCTATATAGAGCAGGATAATAAGACAGGATCGGGGAAAGGACTGCCAGTCTTCGAGATTACCAACATGATGCAACATTTGAATCTCCGTCACTGGTCCGGTGCAACCACATCCTCCGGAGCGAATAACCTCGGTAATGGGCCAAATAACACATCAGTAACATCAGTGCTATGGGAAAAGCTCGGATTCTCAAGGAAGAACCAAAACGAACCCGATATACATGTGGATCAGAAACCCCCTTGGAGTCACTTTTGTGGAGTTGGCTTAGACCAAGCATTGGACGGAACACTAACCCCGCCTAGAAATACGGACCCCCCAGTGAACGACGTAGACGAGCAGTTGTCCAAAGGGCGGACGGGGCTACATCGTGCTCATAGTCTCTGGACCAAAGGTCGCACTGTAACGGACAGAGCCCACGGCCTTGAGACAAAACTCACAACAAAGATACCGATATCTATCAAGCAGAATCCCGGGCTACGGAGGGAAAAGACACGAGTTATTAAACTCAAGAGCCGGGGGCGTAAGCAGACCATCAACAATAGCCTTGACGAGGAGAAGCCTATCTTCCCCGATCCTAAGCAACATGAACTCTCGGCAATCTCACAAGTGGAAGAGAGCCATGGACTCAGTACGGGATATCATGAAAGAAGGGACGATGTCTTGCAAGTAACCGAGCGGAGCAGTTCGGACACTGACTTGGCTGATGCATATGAAGATTGTCTGGAGGTCCATTCTATTCCTGATTAGAGACACAAACATAAACAACAGCACTGTTTGTCTTCTATGCTCAAAGGATTCTAGAAATTGGGAAGAAAATCAAAAATGCGATAGTAATAAATGATCTTGACCATGAGCCCTAGCCAGGGTAATTTTTTGAGGGTTGTGAAAACATGGCCTAGCATGGCTGCAACTCAATTTCAAATTTGCCCGGGAGCTCTGAGTGCCTTGTCACCTAGCAAAAGGTCATTGATATGAGACTAGCGATTAACAATCAATGAAATACTTTGAATGCATTAGAAGTTACCCAAAAGATCCCCCGAGGATATTCATGTAGTCGTACAAAGGTATATTGATACACACAAAAACGCCAATAAATCACACAAGTAAAACTCACTTCTTCTGCCGCTTGGTACTTTTATCACTGGTGTTGCTTAGGACACTGGCTGAACGCTTTTGTGAGGTGCTTTCTCGCGCTGTGGCTTCACCAGTATCACCACTACCAGCTTCTACCTCCTTGTTCTCTGTACCACCTGCCGTCTCCGCTTGACCTTCTGCGGAATGTAGAGCAGCAGAAGCAGCACCGGTGGACTCGGTAGCCACATCTGCTGTTGGAGCCGGGTTATCGTCTTGTTCGGTCTTTACCTCGGGTTTCTCTTTCTCCTTGGCCTCCTTCGCTTTGCGCTCTCTTTCCTGCTTAGCAGCTTCGAGTACGCGAATCTCACTCTCCACCTTTTCTGCCACTTTGCGGGCGTCAAGCAATAAGTTCACCGAGTGGATCAGCTTCTCGAACTCCTTGCATACCCGCTCCGTAGGCATGACCAGCCGAAGCGGCACTTCTAGCTCGGCAAGTGCAGCGGCCAGTTTCTGGGTCTGGACGTTGGACTTGGCCTGCGTCAGTTTCTGAGCACGATCACTGCGGAACTGTACGCCTGGAGCCAGACGGTCGTGATGCTGTACTCCGTATCTGGCCTCTTCAGACGGGGTGAGCGTTCTAATGTTCTGTTGAGCCTCTTTGTTTGCTGCAGCCGCGGCTGCAGCTTTCTTGTTTGTAGGTGCTGCTGGTGCATTGCTTGGGGTTTCGCCACGGCTGTCACGGGCATTTGCATTCGGTGCTGGGGTCTGGGCTGCCGGGCTGGGTGCGGCACCCTCGGGTCCAAGTATGGAGCGTCGCTTCTTGCTCTTGTCGGCTTGGAGAAGGGTCTGAAGCAGCTGAGACAAGCCCTGGCTAGACTGGTACATAGTGGTGTTGCCCACGCTAATGGGAACCTCAAGGCGGGAATAAAGCTCTCTGCGCTCTGCGATAAAGTTTTGCTCGTTTGCGGTAATACGTTTCAGTTCTTCCAGCAGAACTCCTTCCTCACGCACTGCGTCAGCCGTACGTTCTAACTGCAAAGCGGCAAGTTCCTTCCGTGCCCGCTCGCGCTCGGGTTCGAATTTCATCATCTTCTCGTGCAAATCGAATTCGGCCTCGGACATTTCTGACGGAGGGTGTTCTAGGGCAAGCATAGACGCAGCAACAAAGTAGTACCGTGCCTTCATATGTTCCATGGTCCGGACTTGATTGGCTGGTACAAGCGCACTGCTGTTTGTTTCTGCGTCGACGGGATGTGGCTGGAAGTCGTAGCGGTCGGCAATAACCACCCATCGTAGATCGTACTCCTCGACTAAGTCCATCAAATAATCTGTCTCCTGGCGCGACCAGTCATCGCTCTTCAGATGTCGATTGTACTCTTCGTCTGTGTATCGCCTCGGCACTCGAGCTTTGACGTTGTATTTCGCAAAGAGGTATTCCTGGTCCGGGGTTTGCGGGGCATCTTCATCCTGTTTCTGTTCTTCGCCTTCTGTCTCCGGTCCCTCCAGCGCCGGTTTTGCGGTATCGCCTTGTCGTTGCCAGTGACGCAGAACGAGTCCATCCGATCGAGCTTCGTTGGTGAAGGGAGCCATGCGCCTAGTAGGAAAAGCGGTTGTCAGGATGTATCCTCACACTGTAAATCAGATAGAACATACCAAGGACGGACTCTCAGCTTGCTCATCCATTTCGGGCGACCTTTGTATCGGTTCTCGTTGATGGCGATCGGAGGTGCTCTTTCACCTAGCAAGGCGTAAAGTTCACGAGTGATACCCTCTGAGAATTGTAATATTAGGAACTAGACAAAACCGGCGCGTAATTTGGGGGGAACACCAACCGGGCCTCTTCTCGACGACCTTCTGTTTCTTATGCGGTCGGGGTTGGCCCTCCGCGGGCAAATCCAACATGTCGCGAACATCGGCGGCGGCCATGGCGGATTACCACCACTCTTGGAGCTCTTGAAGATCAACGGATTAAGATTTTGTTGATATTGGTTGATAACTGGGGCAAAGTATCGAGGAACAGAAATGAAGGAGAGGAAAGAACAAGAGGGATATGAAAGGAAGTAGTGGAGTAACGAGGGGAGAGTATGAGGAGAAGGGGAGTGAATGAATGAATTAAATGAATGGAGAATTCAATTCGCGCCAAGACTTCCGACCGTTGCTGCCACATTGAGCATCAACATTCGGCCACCTCTTTCTTCACTGTTTCACCTCTCCTCCCCTTGATCTCCCCAGAATTCCAGAACTCCTGCCATTCGGATCTCCTTCATGATGGCGTCGACATCCTCGACCTCATGGCTATCCTCCTTCTTGGCCTTCTGCGCCATCCTGTGCCTCTCGGTGCCTGTTAACGCCCTCTACTTCTATATCGATGGACGTCAACCCAAATGCTTCTTCGAGGAGCTTCCCAAGGACACATTAGTTGTCGGTACGTCACCAACCAATTGGTTTCATGTGAACTTGCTTCGACGGTGTCTTAAATATTCTAATATCCACGGGCAGGAACCTACTCCACTCAGGTCATCAACCAACAGTCGAACACGTACTCCGTTGATCCCAGCCTGAAGATGCTCATTACTGTCGACGAGACCTTCGACAACGACCACCGGGTTGTCTCCAAGCGCGATGGCCACTCTGGTCGCTTCACCTTCTCCGCCGCTGATGCCGGCCAGCACAGAATTTGTGTGACCGCCGAGACGAGTGCCGCGACCGGCGGCTGGCTGTCGGGTGCCCCCGCGGGCGCTGTCAAGGTGACTCTAGACATAGCCATCGGAGAGACCAGCAAGATCGAGACGGAAGACAAGGGCAAGATCCAGGACATCGTCCAGAAGGTGAAGGATCTCAACGGTCGGTTGCAAGATATCCGGAGAGAGCAGGTGTTCCAGCGGGTATGTCTCTTACGCAATTCCATTGTCTCCAACTCTGTACCTGGGGTATATGATACTGACCTGGTTGTTTTCCCTCAATTAATCTAGGAACGTGAGGCCGAATTCCGTGACCAGTCTGAAGCTACCAACTCCCGTGTTGTCCGGTGGACCCTGATTCAAGTGGCTGTCCTGTCCGCTGCCTGCGCCTGGCAACTGTCTCACCTCCGCTCGTTCTTCATCAAGCAGAAGCTGACATAAGGGACGAGGGCATGGAGAAAGGGATAAGAGGGAAAAGAAGGTGCAGTTGTTGTCCGGCGTACCTTGTATATGGGGTTACATTTGAGTTCATTTTTACCTTGATCGTCTATCTCTTTGGTTCATCCGAAACAAATCAATGGAACTTTATGACAATTTTGGATGTATCTGTGGGCTGGATGGTCGTTCTCAGTTTCTGGCCGTAGGCTCAGTTTTGTTGCTGGGATGGCTTGTTTAATGTGGGACATGAAGACTGGAATATGCCTATTATGCCTGCCTTTCTAGTATTATATGATGCGAATGAGTCGATTGATAGATATGGATGTGATGACCTGCTCTATGTGTATCTCTGTCCAATGTATGTTCATCAAGCGAGTATGATAGAGCATAAGTGATTTATTTAATATGGAACCAACCCAATTGCCATTATCATTGAACTGCTATGTATGTGTCTATGTGCCTCTTATGCTTCTTCTATTTAGTGGGTGATCTTTTTTTTTCTTTCTTTCTTGGTTTCCCTGGTCTCTTTGGCTCTCCAAGTCATGATCATTATTGTTGACGGTATATCGTTCGTTAAGTACATCAGACCAGCACTTGGTGAAAAAAGAAAAAAAAAAAAAAAAAAAACTCTCAATAAGGTCTGTATATGCATCAAGAACCCCAAAAATGATGTGGTATAAAGCGGGAATTTCAAATGAAATAAGAGATTAGTAAATATAAGAAAATGGTGGTCAATATTAGTCGACCCAACTATTTCATGCCTTCATTGAGTTATTGGTTTGTTTTGCTGTATCATCACCGCAGCAAAAACTCATGATGAACCGTTCCAAATCGGTCAGCTTGTAGGGTTTGGTCATATAACCTTTCATGCCAACTTTCGACGCACGTCCCAGGGCATCGTCAGTGACATCTGCACTGACAGCAAGAACCGTCGGGGGTGTGGTCCGGGCATGCTTTGCCGTATGAGAATCCGTAGCACGCTGGCTGGTCCCAGGATTAGGAGGAATTTGACCGTGGTACTGGTCTACTAATTGTAATATCCTTAAGGTAGCCTCGTAACCATCCATTTCTGGCATCCAGAGGTCCATGAGAATGACATCCACTGGCTTGAGCTTCTTACGGTACTTTGGCGGTGGCTTGAGGATTGAGCGATCGTCCGAGCCGGCATTCTGGTTTGTGACTGCGTGAGAGCCATTCGTGGCCTCCTCGGGGCGCTGTGACGCCAGAACATCCTGCATAATCCGCACAGCCTCTCTCCCATTGCAAGCCTCATAAACATCCCGGTAGCCAAGTCTTTTGAGCATGTTTACCAACACCCGCCGGTTGATCTTGTTGTCCTCCGCTACCAGGAAAGTCAGCGGATACTTCTCCCCCAATTTGCTATCATAAGCATCTCCATTTATGGAGCCCCCAAAAGACTTGATATCAGGTACAGAACGGGAATGTGTAGGTGTTCGCGAAGAAGCCTCATCCGTGAGACTGGGAGACGGTTGTTGGATAGGGGTCCGCATTGCGGGCGGTAATATTGCATCCAGAGTTGTGCTGCTCGTTTGGCTGAGTCTTGAAGGATCACTGAGCTGGGGAGGGGTTAGAAGCTTCGTCGCAGGGGCAATTGGCCTGGTGCATGGTTCAGGTTGAGTGATAGGAATTCTAATCTCAAACTCTGTACCACGGTCAGGACCCGAGGTAGCAGAACGAACACAGACCAAATCGCCGCCCATTTTCCGGGCCAAGCCTTTAGCTACGAGAAGCCCCAGTCCCAAACCATCTTTGCTTCGGGTCGTAGATGTATCCTCCCGAGCGAATGGTTTGAAGAGATTTGGCAAAAAAGCCTCTGGAATACCTGAGCCAGTATCCCGAACGTTGATCAAGACATCGCCGACTTTGCGGCCTAGAGTAGCAGAGACAGTAATCACACCGCTATTTGTGAATTTGACCGCATTCAGAAAAACACATGATATCAACTTCGCAAGATCGCGATCATCCACAAATAGGGTATCTGGCAGCGCAGTGTCTACCGACCAGTTTATCGTTTTAGAAAATACCTCCCCATTAGACGACCGCGAGCGAAGCTCAATCCTTTCTCCTAATTCGGTTCCATTTGTCACCGCAAAATCAGGCCGACCACCAACATGAAGCGATTCGTTGATAACCAAACGAAGCAAATCACGGAGTTTTGTGACTCGCAGCGCAGGGCTCTTAAGGTTGATATTGATGCCTTCCAGCAGAAGATGTGGCGCTGAACGTCGTACTGCTAATGATGGGCGGGGGTCCACCATGTTGGCCATGACAGCTTCAATCTGATGTGCTGGAGTGGCCTGAATGATTTTGTCACTTTCAAGCACCGCGTTCTTGACATCTTCGCTTCGAGGGGATAGTTCTTTCGTTGCTGTAACACGCGGCATCTTTTGCTTCGGCGTCGATCCCACGGTGAATTCCGGCGGATTGCTTCGCCGCCGTTTGTATGGATTGATTCCAACGTTGGTGCCATCAGCAAAGATGTTGGGCCGATTTTCGCACGTTGGGATTGGTGACTGAACAGGCCCGCCGAATAGATCGTTATCACGTTCTACCTGGGGTGTTTTAGGAACTTGCATGTTCATATCATAGGCATGGACAACATTATCAGCGGCTTCAACAGCCCGTCTTGCACTATCTGTATGGGGTCAGCTTTGAGAAATGGCATAACGAGCAGCCATGACAAACCTTGAACCATTTCAATGCTTTCTTTGAGGGATTGAAAAACATAACCTGCCCTTGGAGACGGTTTACCTTGAATGGCTTCCCGTACAGTAGCATGCATGACGTCCAGCATTCCTACGATCCCCTGCATCGGCGTCCGCAACTCATGAGACAGGCTCCGAGCAAAGGGCTTCAGGGGTTGAGATGAGAAATCAGGATGTCCGTACAAAGCGTTTAGATACCCATCATCGATGATTTTATGACCCTTGGATGGATTCTTGATATCTTTGGAAGGCCGGTCGGTCTTTGTCGCATCCTCTCGGATCCGTTGGACAATCAGATCTTCCAGCGAATACAGAACCATTTCCAACAAAGACCACGAGAGATTGCGCTTCTGCAATCCTGGCTCCGACCACATCAAGCCGAAGTGGGCGAGGCACTGGGTTTCCGAGAAGAGCGGAATTGCCAGGTAGCCCTCTGCCGCGAACGGGAGCTGGTCTTGGTCAAATGACATGACGGATCCTAACTTCTCAGGAATCAAGCAAGGCTTCCCATGGTCCATATGAGACAAAGGGTTGCCTCCAGCAAAGTACCGGTGTCTATGCATTCCCACGTTTTGATGTCCATCGTTGTAATAGAAGGCTGTACCAAACAGGCGGGGTTTATGTTCCCCCATATCACCGACGATCTCATCATCTCGAACTCTCCGGGCTACGAAACCATATTGAGCGTTGCAGATTGAGGTAATATGTTCCATCAGTCGGCTCCAGAAGGACTCCAAGTCCAGGCCTCGGAGTTCTTGCTTTAATTTCATCAGTTGTTCGGTCGCCATACTTTGATGACCGCCGAGATGTGTACGATTTAATGGGTCGGCCTGCGGGTCATCGTTGAGCAAGGTTGAAGCTGAGGTATCTCCAGAAAGGCATTCAGACTTGCATGGGAGAAACGGTTTCGATCGGCCGGCCGATACGAAAGTCTTTGACCATTCGGATTCGACTGAATCTGACATGGTGTGGGACAGCTTTCACGCTTCGTCAAAGTCGCTAATATTGCGAGTCCCGAAAGCGAAGCTTTATTAGGGTATAGGAGGGCGCCAAAATAACGTTGGGGTTTTAAAATTAGTTGCCCGATCACGAGGAGAATCTTTGGGCAGGACAAAACGCATGGCTTTCGATCTGGAAACGGGCGCAGAGGACTTGGTTAGTGATCAACCTTCGTCATGGGCACGATGGAGGGTTTTCGATATGTCAAAGATCGAGTCGCTCTTGATGTTAGACAGGTTTGTCGAGCACATACACCACTTTGGCAAATGTTGGTAAGGTGTAGCTCCGGTCGAGCTACACCATATGGTCGGCGCTCTGTACTGGGATAGCGCTCTGAGAAGAATCTGTGCGACAAATTATCCTGGCGTTATAGATCTGTCGGATTTAAACGACTGCGAAAAAAAAAAAGGACGAAAAAGAAGAGAGTGAAAGCGAAAGCACGGAGTAGATGCTTGTCGTTCAAGAGGTAGGTAAACTAAATCGAAACAAATCGACGACGGGATTATAATCTGCTCCTTTAATCCTTCCTCTTCCGATAACGTTCTAATAGCTGTTGGAGGTTATCTGCTTGGTCGATGGATGGCACTGTTTCCTCTCCCTGAGGGCACTGGCCAATTGCTGGGGCAGAGGTGGTCGGCAGAAATCACCCAAAAAACCTGACCACGCAAGCGGAGAGAAATCCAGTTCTCAATAATATAGCCGGGGTGAGGGACCATCAGACGATGGAATGGATATAATTTGACAGTCCCACCCACAGGCCAAGATGAGGAAGAAGTGGGAGGAATGGAGAGAAAAGGGTAAAGTCGGTCAGGTGCAGGAGGAGGGGGAATTGAAGGAAACAGAAATCGTCTCCATTTCGTATGGGACCAATTTGGGACTGATCGCCCGGTCTAGACGCGGGGAGGCTTAAATCCACACGGTAAGTGACTATGATTCATTTGGAGTCTAGAATGTCCCTTTGGGAGGAATTACAAGCCTATGGTGGTTTCTATATGTTCTGCCTGCTTGTGTAATCATCCTTTTCTTTTTCTTTTTCCCAAAAGGACTGTTTCTTCAGGGAACCTGAAATAAGAAATAAATAGTGGCCGCATGGCGCATTTTGATTGACATGGGTATGTATCGTTTGCTGGTACGGAAATATATTTATAGAACATCAACTTAACCCTCACGCATATTGATTCCAATGAGCGTACTTCCATAGTTTGCCGGGTTACCAGGCTATACATTTCGAAAGAAAACAGTACAACGGAGAAACAAATGATCATTATAATACGTGGTATAACCCTAAAGAATCGACCACCACACCAAATGCTCCAACATCCATGGATGATGCTTCACATGGACCGAGGTTGTGATACTGTCGTATGTACGTTCATTACATGACATGGTCGACCGACCGACATAGATGCCTTCTCAACCTCTCAACCACAAAGTGATTGCAAACTTTGAACAAGAACATAATGGCTAGACCCTTCGAAATCTCCGTTCCAGATACTCAACTTCATCATCTTCAGCAAAAGTTAACAACGGCAACTTTCCCGGATGAACTGGACGATGCGGGGTGGGACATGGGTGTGCCTCTGGGTGAGATGAGAAGGCTGGTAACCTACTGGCGCGACGGCTTCAACTGGCGCCAAAAGGAACAAGAACTGAACGAGAGCTTGAATCAGTTCCTCGTTCCTATAACCGTCAACGGATTTGGAGGCTTGGATATTCATTGCCTGCACCACACCAGCCGAAATCCAAACGCTGTCCCTTTGCTATTCATACACGGCTGTAGGCCTGGCTGATACCAGATCCCAATAAAGTCATCGCGGAGCTGACCGGTCTTCTTGTAGGGCCTGGAAGCTTTTTGGAAGCAACGAAGCTTATTCCATTGCTGACCCAAGGAGACGAGAATCACCCAGCATTCCACCTGGTCGCTCCCTCATTGCCGAACTTTGGCTTTTCATCTGCAGTAAACAAGGTTTGAAGATATACCTAATTCATAAATGCATTTGCAAGAGTAATCTAATGTCCTGTAGAAAGGGTTTGGCCTGGTTCAATATGCGGAAGCAATGCACAATGTGATGCTGGCTTTGGGCTACAAAGATTACGGTCTGCTGTATCGTCCTCCCACCAGGCTGATTCAATACTAACCTCTCTATAGTTGTACAAGGCGGTGATTGGGGCAGTATCATCGCTCGTGTCATGGCCAACCGCTACTCTGACCACACCAAGGCCGTTCACTTGAACTTTCTACCGGTGGCTCCGCCTTATCCATGGCGGAGTCCTTTAGTCTTTCTTCGATCCCTCCTCACCATTCCCTTCTCATCAGGCGACAAGGCACACTTGTCAGCTACTTCGGACTATCTGATGCAAGGGAATGCTTACATGCGTCAGCAGGAGACTCGTCCGCAAACGTTAGGCTACGCTCTTCATGACAGCCCTGTGGCGTTGCTCGCTTGGATTTACGACAAACTGCACTCATGGACTGATAGCTACCCATGGACGGATGATGAGATTCTCATTTGGGTGAGCATCTACTGTTTTTCGGTAGCGGGGCCCGCGGCGTCAGTCCGGATCTACTACGAGGCGGCACGGAACGATTCTTCGTCCGCTGTGCCCGGAATGTCCACCGTCGATGCTATCTCGAGACCCACTCCTGGTAACGTCAAACTCGCGGTGGCTCAATTCAAGAAAGAGCTGATCCGAGTGCCTATGTCGTGGACCGGCCTGGCCGGTTCTGTCGTTAGAGCTAAGCAATATGACTGTGGTGGCCATTTTGCAGCGTGGGAGGTGCCGGAGCTCCTGGCAACCGACCTGAGAAATTTCCTGGGAAGGAATGGGCAGGCGTACGGAGCTGTATCTGGGAAGGATGGGTACTGATCATCCACTTGTCGACTGCAGATTGAACGGAGCCCTATAGGGGTTAGGTCGTAGATGATAGAGGTTCCAGACATAACGCAACAGAACTAGGACGGTGAATCCGTATGCAGAGATTTAATTTCTAATTCCCTGTATTTTCGTCCTCCATATGTCCTCACTGTGCTTCGCCTCGCCTTAATCGATAATATGTAACATTAAGTGGAGACCTTAGACGCCGAAAGCTGTTCTCAACCAGGAAATATTGCAATCGTGGCAATGGAGCGTGAAATTAAAGACCTGAATAACATAACAAAAAAGCGCCAACATAACTATTCTAATCTTGTCTTCCCTTGAGTAGCCGCTTAGTCACCTTATCTTTCTCTATGATGTACACCTGGGCACCCCAACCGGAGAGTGCGTCTCTGTCAACAGCACTGAGGAGAGCCTGGGAAATGGTTTCGAACAAGTCCTCGGGGGCCTATACCGTCAGTATCATCTCTAATCAAAATCAGAATCCCACACACGCAAGACATACCAGATCCGGCTCCCATAAACTCTCACAGGTACCAAACAGCTGATCACTAGCTGTCCCGCTGACAATGAAATCCTTTGCAAAGTCGATACATCCGATACTATCAAAGCCACAGATAAATGGCTTGCCAGTTGTGCTGTTTATACCCGCAACGACGGGACTGACGAAGAAAGGTCCAAATCTCCTCTCGTACAGTGACGAACTGACCAGGTTGGCCAAGGTCTGGGGTGCAATGTTCCGTTCCTCACGCAGGCGGTACATGTTAACCTTGTAGCGGAAGAGATCTGAGACGGTCGAGACGTCGGTCGCCAGGCCAGTCAGGCCGAGGAAGGTCGATGGGCTGTAGTTGAAGATCTTGGGGAAGTTATTGGAGACGGTCAGAGCCTGCATGCCGAGTCGGAGATCGCAGGCAATTGCCACGCAGTCCTTGCCTACCATGGCGACGCAGGCACCACCATCTGCAGAGAGGAAGATTAATATGTGAAACTCGAGTCAGTCGGGAGACGAGGAAGATGACATACTGATATCGAAGGGCGAACTCTAGAGGTATCGTCAGCTTGCTCAATCAGGGAAAGAAGGGTAGTACAGAAGACATACCATGATTAATTTGATAGAGTAAATAAAATCAAAATCTAAATTAGAGAAGTGAAAGGGTTCGATGAGTGAGACGCAAGAGGATGTGGAGGGCCGAGGGTTGGGGTGAAGCGTGAGGTGGTGAAGGAGAGGGACTGATGAATGGTTGAGTTGAAGCTCACTGCTGCCAGCACGCGTGGAGCCGCCGAGCTTTCTGCCGATGACGATGCGCCCGCTGCCTACTGATCTTCCCGCATTTACTACACCTTGTCTATTACCCTAATCTCCGAACATCAAACTCCTTCTGTGTACTTCTATTCTTTTCTCTCGCCTTGGTCTACGTGCTGTTTAAACCTATATTCAAAGTATAAAACAGACAAGAAAACTGGAAGGCGACGACGCTCACATTCGCCCTCAACTCTGACACCGACCCCGCAGTATTAAAATAAACATACCTAACTATGAGCGCTCATGTCGTAGTCCTCGACTCGACAGCTCGAAGGGCTACAATTAAGACAACGCCAGGAAAATATCTGACTGATGTTTTACAAGAGGCATGTGTAAAACTAGGCGTAGATGCTAGCCAATATGGACTGAAGTAAGCATTTGCTTCCATCACCCAATACCAAGCTTTCAGTCAAGGGACTAACTCCGCTCCAAGATACAAAGGTAAACAGGTCGACCTGTCGCTATCTTTCCGTCTCTCCGGGCTCATTTCTGGCGCAAAGCTGGAGCTGATCCAACTCTCACGGTCGCCATCCGTTGTCACTGTCGCACTTCAGCTACCGGAATCAGAAGCCCGTGGGGCGCCCAACGGCCGTCTCTTGGACAAATTCCCAAGCACAACGTCCTTATGGTTCATATTGCGTAAGTTTGAAGCTGGAGTTGCTGGGAATACATCGATTCGGAACCTCACAGCGCGAGGGGCTCCCGTTACTGGAAACGGAGATAATGGATCAGGGCGGTTGTTCTACGAGACGCCGGTGATCCAAATTTTGGAACGGGAGCTGTCCACATTCCCCGATTTACAGAAGTCGCTAGCTCAACTAGGGTTCAACAGCGGAAACGTGTTATTGAGGCTGAGCTTTCGTCGGACAGAGGACCCATTAGAAGTTGCTATGAGCAAGATCCAAGAATACTTCAAGTCATCTGACGACACGAACCCCCAGTCACAGGAGTCGTCTACTCCAGCAGAACAGAAGCAGACAGTAGATGGACAGAGCCAACAAGAACGTGAGCCGCCAAAATCTACATCAGATGCATCGTCCCCTGCACCTGTTTTGCCTGAACAACCCCAAAATCAAATCCCTCCACCTGCTTCTGCTGAACCTTCCGAACCTGCAACGACTCTTCCCTCTCGACAAGTAGCAGTTTTCGCCCCTCCGTCTAGCGATACGCCACAGTCCGCAAAGACCGCCTATAATGAAAGTGACTACGTACCCTCGGTAGATCATGCGCAGGCGCACCAACGTCGGCTCAACGCGGCATCCCAGAATAAACGCCTCCTATCTGATGCAGAGATTGCCGCTAAAGCCGCAGCAGAAGAGGAAAAGCTTGCAGCTGTCAAGGAGGTGGACGTCAAAGTCCGACTGCCGGACCAGAGTCAGATTGTGGCAAAATTTGGGCAGCAAGATACGGGCAAATCACTCTACAGTTTTGTAAGAAATTGCTTGGCGGGACCTTTCGCTGGAGAAAAATTTATCATCACAACTTTCCCCGGTGGTGGCCAGAGTGGAAAGAAACTACATAATGTGGTCCCGGACTCTGATCAGACTCTACTGATCAAGGACCTCGGTATGGTAGGCCGAACCCTTGTCAATTTCTCTTGGGACGCAACTGCTCCCCAAGCTGCTTGGCAAAGCCGAAGAGACCTCCTGAGACCAGAGCTACGGACACAAGCGAAAGAACTTAAGGTTGAACAACCAGCGGATGTCATGGATACCTCTGAGGATACGGTGCAGCCGAAGTCGGGATCTGATCGTCAAGGTGAGAAGTCAAGCGGGCGCAAACCAGGAAGCTTACCCAAGTGGTTGAAACTGCCCGGGAAGAAATAGATAAGAGATATGCTGGTACATACCTTAAGTGTTACCGTCATGTTACATCTTCTAACTTACAATCATGAGTAATGTGATAATGGTCCTGATGTCCTGTAGTCAAACGTAAATTAGGACGCATAGACAGCGTCACCATCGAGTTCTGGAAAGAAGTATACATCATGTTCGGCTACATCCTTGAACAGCAATCTACAGGATAATCCAGCCAGATTCTACCAACGGCATCACACACAGTGACCGATCGGCGGTCGTTAGGCCAGAGAGAGACCTACACAAGCCGGTCTGAATAATATTCTGAAGAAGATTGAAGGTGAAAGAAACCAAGTCCCAGTGGTATTGCATTAGAATCAGAGATCCATTTATGTTTTTTGTCCAATTGTCCACGCCTATGGAATCATATCCCTTGCCCCCATTCCTATATCCCAGGAGAGATAGAAGCAAAGAAGGTAGGTCGGGTTGTCATTTTTCCCCTCCCAGTATGGACAGAACCTCCCCCACACTCCATGTGATCGGCCACCAAGACTCACTTCATCGTTTCGTTATCTCATTCTTTTCTTTGGCTAATAGGAGAAAGCTTTATTGGATTGAATGGGAACGAATCTAGTGACCAGTAACACGACGGGACTCGGCGATGACGCGCTGCATGTCCTCAACCTTTCTCTTGCCACGGCCGAAGGTACCGAGCTGTAATTGAACGTTAGCCTTTCTGCTCTGGAAGATAAATTGAAGATTGCGCCGGTTTCCATCCGCTCTGGCCCCAGTATAATTTCGATAGTAAACCATAATCGACACCAGGATCAACCGATGATAACTTCCGAGACTATCCGACCAAAACCAGGGCGGCCCCAGCGATATCTGCCGAATTGAAAGTATGATAACAGAATCGAACGTACCCTCTTCTTGGCGAGCTTACGAGCACGCTTGTCCTGAGTGTTTCTCAGGAGTTCGATGATACGACGCTCATAGGGGGCAAGACCGACAACCTCACGAGCGATGTCACGAACGAAGGCAGTGCGGCGGGAGGACTGGCCCTTGGTGCGGCTGACACGGGTCTTGGGGGTGTTGAGGGGGGTGGTTTTCTATAACGAAGGATATCCGTTAGTCTTGTTTTCTTGTCTTCCTCCGCATGTTGTCGGTCTTTCTCAGATGTCGAGTGGTTGCTGGATGCTGTATTCTCCCGAATCACGCAAAAATTTGCCATGTCGCTTGATCTTCTCGATTTTCCTCTCTTTTCCTGTCTCGCACTTCGGACTTGTAATATCGAACTTTCCCCCGTTTCCCAGCAATATCCAGCCATTCAACATCCACTCGACAACTGAGACCCGTTCAAAATCAAATATAGCACGGATAGGGAAACCCACATGGCCCTTGTTCAGACCGACCACAATTCCGGAGCGTTCCTGGGCCATCTCGACGGTTGGACTGGTTTGGCGACGTGGTTGGTGAGGGAGTGTCGAAGTCGATGGGCGTCTCGGTGCGGATAGAATCGCGATGGACTTTGCACGGTTTTGGTTGGCTCAAACGGCAGTGCGTAGCGAGTGTTAGGGCTTTGCTTAGGGTTTTTTGCTGGTCTGGGTTAGCGTCCTCTTTTGCCTGGCTCTATGAACGGGTGTCGGTGCCTGAGGTGTTATCCACCATCCTTATCAGGCCTCGATAAGGGTTACATCCTCTTAATTCTTTTAAAGTATAGGTACTTGATGGTCATGATTAAATCCATGGTCCATTTCGCTATTTTCCACATTAATTCTCTACATAGCTATTGTCTCTGATCAGTTTGCTCTGGCCCTGATTCCACATCCACCTCGATGGTCTTCAATATCCCTCGATTTGAGCTGTCTCCCTCCTTGGAATGGTCCTCTCGGCCCTTTTCTACCGGGCTGGCTTCGACTGTAGTATAGCAAGTTGTTTCATATGTCTTCCCGCTGCGATTGCCACGGCTTAGCATCTCCAAGTTATTCCCCGGAAGTAAATCTGTAAGGCTAATATTCTGTCGGTGTTGAACTGGAAAAGGCTTTGCATCTACCGTTTTCTTTGAAGTAATAGTACTAGAGCCGGTACCAGTCATGACTGGCTCCGAGGAGAAGCATCTTGTTTTCCGGAGGAAATGTCGCAGGAAAGTAGGTAATGCCGGCAAACAACTTGCTATGATTCCTGAAGTGATTTCGGCGGCACTATTATCGGTATTAGTGATGAGTAGGGGATGTAGCTCTAACTTACACTTACGTCCATAAGAATTCTGGAAACCAGACAAATGTGTTGTCGGTAGCGGTGCTATTTGGGATACTGACTACAAGGCGCATAACGCTCGATATGCAGCCGCTGTTTGCTCAGAAGTACTCTTCCTGTCAGTCATTTGAGGTGGGTTCAATGATGGGAAGAGGGTCTTACAAAATACCCGCAACGAAGACGGCAGAAGTACATATCTTCTTCTTGAAGGTCATTTGCAGGCGCCATACACAGACAATTGGTAGTAAGAGAATCAGAAAATCGGACACTACGTTGAAGATCGAAGCAGCTAGGATGGGACCGTTGATATTGATGCAGTGCCCTGGCACATGCTCATCCCAGATCTTGGATCGCGGTGTGCATTCGAAGATCTTGAGGATTGTGTCGGCAAAGTAGAACAAGAAGTTGAGCCAAATGAGAAGCTGAATCAATAAGTAGGTGATGCCGTTGAAAGACGGTGCGAATACCCGGAGGAATAGTAGGAGTATGGATAATTTGGTGATGAATATGATCGGCCCATATATGATTTGGCATGTATTTGCTAGCTAATGGTTATCAATACGCTGGTTCCTTATTGTTGTAAGATGACTTCTTACCTTCAAGAATTCACGGAGATCTGATGGAGATACTTCCCACTGGTGGAGGCCACTGCCATGCTTGCCTGTCTCAAAAGTCATCACAGCATAGACTATTAATCCTAACTACGTCGCCTATAAGTAGGTGATTCTCCGAGAGCAAGAGTTCGTAGATATCGTATTGAGACGCATACCCAGGCAAAGAAACAAGTAACTACAGGTGACAGTTAGTGAATACCAATTTAACTGAAACCTTGCCTTGGTATACATACAATCTTCCCACCCTGGAGCTCTGGTGATTAATAGCTTTGTGTACATGCGCATACCGACACAAAAGGTACTGATTGAGAGGCATAATACCTCTGTAATGACATCCCACCGTTGCGGCGAATGTTTATGATCATATGTAGGGTTCATGCCTGAGTTTGGATTTTCATGAATAATCAACCGAGTTAATTATGACAGCAAGTTACGGGCCTAAACTAGACATTTAGACCTGTCGCCTGCGCCCCAAGGACGAAAGAAAGAAAAGGAAAGGAAAGGGAAAAGAAGAGAACCCGGACATGGATATGAAGTCAGTCACACATGTTGATCAAATACTTGCGCCGAGTTGTAGCAGTGTAGATAGTTGGACGTCAGCACAGTAAGAATAGAAGCAGCCGTGATAGCGTGGGGGACATTATCTGCCCTGGAAGCAAGGAGACTACCGCCGCTTACTTGCAGCAACCCTGACTCAATGAAACGTCTTCAATGGAGTAATGCAGTAAGACTTCACCGTTGGCAAGGGGGCTTTGCTTATGCCTCTTGGAAATCGACAAACCGCAGGAGAGGAATGCTCCTATTGGTAGCAGTGGTGCAACCTAGTAAGAAACCCGTGCCATCGAACAGCTGGAGAGTATGTGTGAATGCCATGGTAGTAGTGGACAAGCACCAGGCTGACTGGGGGAAGGCGTGGCGAGGAACCAAGGGATAGAGAACGTAGTACTTGTCGGTACCCTTGCAGAAGGGGATCAACATTCCACACCTCAGCCTCGTGCCAGGAAAAGGATCCCCTCGTATTCATTCCATTCTACAAGCTATGTGCCCTACCTTGTAGCGGTAGTAATTGCATCTTTTTGGATGTATCAAGACTTCTCGTCCCGTAAAGACGGTGTGAATAGATATACCACCCATCTATGTAGGGGTTTCTATAATATGTAGGTATAATATAGTTGATATTGCAGTGTACACCGTCATTCGGTAACGCAGACATCGTACACAGTCAATGACCCAACACAATCATATCATGGCCTACTGTCACAGCGACACGCGCAGCAGCCCATCGAGCCCTTCTTCCCAGCTTTCCATTAACTCGCCGCAGAACATCTCCAGCGCAGCCGTATCGAATGTTCTATCCAATTCTGCCCGAAGTTGCGTACCATCCTCGCCGGAGCCGGAGCCGCCCACCACTAGGTCAATCAAAGATCCGAGAACTCCCGGCTCAGAGATAGCTGATTTTAGCGCACGAGCATTTGCCCGAATGCTTTCGTAGACGTGACGTGTGGATTCGGCTAATCTTTGTATACGATCCTTGGGGAGTTTCGCAGCCTTGGAGGCTTTCTTCGATGCAATGGATGTTATAAGCGAGAGCGCCTTGAGCGACTCAACGATCAGGTACAAGTCGTGGAAGGACCTCCAGGTTGGGGCAGATGATTCATGCCGCTGCAAGGAAACTGCCGTTTTGGATACAAGCAGGGAGATCTTTTGACCGTTCAAGTCAAGATCCTTTGTCTTGGAACTCAACCATTCTTCCACCTGGGTTAAGCAGCTGTCGACCTCTTCAGAGGCGACGGACTTCGAACCATTCAAGAATGAGACCACCTTGAGAAGGCTCAGATTGATCTTGACGCTCTCAATCTCTGATGAGGTCATCTCAGTAGATGCTTCCGACCCTACGATATCTTCGAAACTGGGCGGATTGGGTTCAACAGACACTGGCTTCTGAAGAGCCATGCCTTTGAGGGTGCTAAATAACTGATCTGTTACCCTCGTAGAAGTCACCCATTGTTCCTGTTCATCATTAGCCTTGCCCTGCGGCCTCAACACTGGTTAGGGACAAACGTACCCGAGGAAGTGGTCCCAGGCGCATCCGTTCTTCGAAAGTTGGCTGGTTGGTGGGTTCACAGTTCATGAATGCATCGAATACACGCTGGTCTGTCAAAGGAGATGAATCCCTTGCTGCAGAGTAATTGTGAGCGGATAGTTCATTTTATGAAGTTTTCTTGCACCTACCGACTTCGTCATATCGACCCATCGGATCTCCTCCAGCCAGTCTTTGCATCCGCCTGACGTCCAATGCCCACATCCTGCGACAGACACTATACTTTAAGCGCCTCTGAAGCTCTATAGTGCCTTCTATGTTTACGTAACTACCCAAATCCAATCCATTCGATCGGTGCCTGACTGTCGTGACCTCGGCCGTTCGATAAAAATTCAGGGCCTGAACAAAAGCAGACTGTGGGTCGAAGTCTTTGTATTCGGCACCCTCAATTGGAGGCGCCGAGTGTGGATGGATCGTTGCTAGGCGGGTGAAGAGGTTGTGAGCAACCGTTTCGAACTGCATTTGCTTGACAGAGAGCTTGCTGAAGGCCTTGAGAGCGAGTGATCCAGCCCCGAGGCGCAAGTAGATACGCACAAGGAGTAACAACGCTTGATAATTATGAGGAGAATCAAACACAAGACGCTCCAGAATAGCAGCGGCGCGGATGAGGATGGTGTCTGGGATTTGATCCTGGTTACCAGAAATCCATGTTCCGCTGAAGCGTATCAAGCTCATTGCAGCTAGCAAACACAAATCATCACTAGGCTGACTTTCAATCGTGGATGGGGCTGAGCTCCGTTCTGGACGATCTGCTTCACGATAGACTTGGAGACAGCGCGAGATGAAGTCCTCGACTTGTGATTTAGAGACGTTAGTCTCGTCACTTGACAATATGAAGCAGTATTCAAGTTTAAGGGCATTGATAGTCGTCACACCCTTGAAAGGGTCGTTCTTCACCTTCATGAGTGTGTCAGCCTGGAAACGAAAAGCACGAACATTGTCTGGAACGTACATTTTCCTCTTGACATTTGGAGGCATACTCCACGAATTTGGACACAGCTTCCTTGTCTAGTGCTGCCAAGTAAAGCTGCAGGTCGCTAAAGCAGTAAAGCTTGTTCTTGTTACTGTCAAAATATTCTTGGCAAGTAGAGACTAGATCCTCCGTCTTCAAAGTGCCGGCGACAACACCCGAATGAATCAAGTCTAGGCGAGCTAGTTGTGCATTGCGAGATTTGGGCACGACATCAAGGAAATTGTCAATGAACTTTAGGGTTTCGGTAGTGGCTCTTCGAAGATGGTTAGCATGCACATTTCAAGTGCTGCCTCTTCCTCATTCTTCTTCTAATGATGGAGTAACTTACTCTTGGGTATTGATGTTCCGGGTTGAAATAACAAGTAGTTTCCAAACTGCCCAGTCATCACGCTCTTGGAGAGCCTTCTTCTCAGCTTCGTTACTAGGGATTGCAAGTAACTCTTTCGCGTAAGATAAGCCTTGTGTCCACATCTCCGCCTTTTCCAAGCTGGAGAGCTTCACCCCAATGAAGGACCAGTCATTCTGAATGACTCGCGAGCTTAGTCCAAGATTCTCACTGTCAAGGATTTTTACAATCTCATCATGACGTCCTTGAGACTCGAAGATTTTAACAAGTAACAATAGCTCCTCTGGGCCTTGTATGGCTCTAGGAGGGCTCAGCAACTCTTTCTATCGTAGATATAAGCATCACAACAACCAGCTGCAAAATAGGATCAACATCACATAGGACATACTGGATCAGAAGGAACACTGTCAGCAGCTTTGGAAACCATGCGATAAGCTAGAGTCCCAAAAAGTTTACGGTCAGTTTCCGAACTGGCTTGATCGGTAGCGACGAGATGACTGAGGAAAATAGCCCAAAGATAGTATTTCCGTGTCTTGGGGAAATTATTTTGGAGAGTCATAGCGGCCTGCCACCCATTCTCAAAGAATTAGATTCGATTTAGTGCGACACCCGGGACTCAATAGGTTACCGACCTTTTGTGCTGACTTCCAGTCGTCACCTTCAAACGCATACGTAAACCATCTCATCTGTAGATCCAGATCTTGTGGTTTCGCCTTCGAAGCTCTTTCCCACAGAGTCCTCATAGTCTCCGCCTGGTCGCCCATTCGTTTCAGGGTCTGATAAAGAATGTCGAGAGTATCGAGATCGGTAGCTGGTGGCTCGGCTTTGCACAGATCGAGGGTCTCCGCTATACCACGTTGGCGGTGGGTTTCGTCCACATGACGATATAGTATATGAGCTTTCCATGCCTACGCGGGGCGTTTGCAATTAAATTAGCAACATGTACTGACGTGGTCGCTCTGGGTGATTGCAACCTCAAGGGCATACGCAGCACCAGGGATATTTAGACGATAAGGTCCAGAATGTATTATTATAAATGGTCTCACAGGGGACTAACCTTCAAAAATTTTGTATCTTCTCCCTTCTTCATGCGCTTGTCAATCAGCTGCAGGGCCTGCTTCAGATTCTGCCCGTCAATGGCATCTTGAATCTGTTTGTTTCGCCGGTAGAAAACGGCGTCATTGGTGGACATGGCGAGCGAGAGAAGATCAGATCTAACTCTAGATTAATCCTGATAGCGGGGGGACGTGGATTCCTATTTTGCAACAAGGGATCGGCGTTCGTATGCTGCGCAACCAAGCACAGCACACGATGTGCGGGGAAGATAGGACGGCGGGATAATGAGGGGAAGAAATTCTTAGGAACAAACAGTTGAAAATAGTTTGGCCCCGGCAGGCATGAACTGGAAGGCGGTGATCGATAATATAGTGGGTGCCAATGCTGAGTGTATAAATCGCTTATTATCTACCACCTTAAGCGCTGCGTTTATCCAAAGGAAGAAAGAAAGAGAAAAAATAAATTAGAATAAATTAAATTGAATGAAAAATGAAAGACAAAATAATATGCAAATAAAGTTAGTGCTGTGGACAGCAACCTGAGTTTGCCCTCAACATGCTTCAAGGATTTAGAAGGCTATATACACCAACCTTAACGTTAATAACATAAGGTCCTAACATGTGTTGTTAAAGTCTTGCAAGAAGTGATCGCTGAAACATTTCTATGATACAAATATAGAGCGGGATGACCCTTCTTTCTAGAATCGGTAACATACAACATAGTAAATAGGATACAGACTTGAGGATGTGCGCCAAAAAGCCCTTGTTGCGACAATCGGAACTTTCATGCCCCCCTTCTGCCGAGCAGAAGTAAGTGGGAAAAAAGAAGAGATAGACATCCATGTTAAGGAGGTAAGCTGCGTCAATAGGAGGAGAAGCTTATGTGCCAACGAATAGTATGTTTTTGCTCGAAACATGTAATTGCCCGGTCTCTTACCAGTATCTTTTATCAGGACAGCCTGGCTCTGAGATGTGCAGTGAGATGCTGATGTAGACCGAAAGGAGACCCTATTAGTTACCGGGAATATTGATCGTCTGGCATCCCGGTGATTCTATGATACAGATATTGTGAAGATTAACTTCAAGGAAACATGCACCATTTGCTAACATAGCTCTGGTAGAACTAGCCAGAAAGCTTTTTCTGTGTCAACTGCAATATCGTCAGCTAAGTAGGACTAAATCAGAGTTCTACTGAGATGGCAGGACTAGGTTATTGAGCCATCGAGGGTTGGACGTAGATAGGAAATATCAACGCAAATTAGTTTGAGATATACATAGATACGTACCCATTGTTTTTTGCAGTCACGGTAGGCCCTGCCACATATTCGAGTCAGCTATAGGCTAAAGTAAAAATGTGCAGGTAAACATGTGAATGATTCAGGCTACTAGCTCGCCGATAGGAGGTCAAGAGTCCCTCCTCTAGATCCATATCACTGGACTCTACCGGCATAGAAGGGTTAAATACTCACTGAAAGTAATCGTGGCACATTTCTCTGTCGAAATTATTCCGCTTCATACATTTCAAACTCCGATCAGCGAAATCTTGGCATGGATCATAGTACTCGCTTGCACTCTTGCTGGAATATGGAGCATGCCGTTAGTAAGTTTGTGGAAAATAGATAAAAAAAAGTAGCTGAAAAATTTTTTTTTAAAATAGATCAAAAAGAAAAGTCTAAGCACCAAAAATCAAGCATCAGGATTTATGACACGTGCACCCTGATTCAAGAGAATATGAGCGGGTGACTTCAAAAGCTCTTGAAACAAGACCACCATTGAAAGCCATAATTATGACGATAATAATAATGATGCAAAGATTTTGACATAAGATACATCGGTAGGATGTACTTCGGGCGTTGATGTGATGATGTAGGAGACAGCTGGGCAACCTACTTAGTGAATCTCCGCTCCGTGTTTGACCAGGAGTTAGGATGGCCTTGTCCGGACGACTCTGGTTGTTGGTCTGATGTGGAAGACATGATTGTGAGACCAAAAGTAGTCAAATGTATGTGATTGATACAGGCGACAGCGTTGGACAGTATGGGTGATAACGTCGTGAGGTTCTTACTGGGAGTATGTAGGTTTGTTCCTGGAGAAGTTTGGCTCCACAATTGAAGGTCTTGGCACAGTGACCTTTTAGTCATGCTGTCCATTTCAGTAATTCCAAAATACGTACGGAGTATACTTCTTTTACTTGCAAAAAGACAACTGATCATATTGAAAACCCTGGTACTGCAATATACTGGAATAACTATACTGACTGTAATTGATTTGTGGTATGATACTTACTCTGGACGATATTGAGCGACTGTTGTACTCTAGAAGTTTCAATCCCTGATTCGTTCGCCATCGGATGATATGTCCATCAACTGAGAACTTTCTAATCAAGACATAGCTAGCTAACCTAGCGGAGCAGGCTACAGAGACAAGACCAAGAGGCGGGCAAAATGAAAGACATGATGACGGCTGAAGCGCCGGTCTTGCATGATATGACACCATTACACGCATCTAATATTCTTAGCGCTAACACTGAGTATGATCTCACGTTGTCGGTGACAAGAAATCCCCCGAAAAGCCTGGAAAGTGGAGGAAGTGCAGTAGCTTGGAAGACAAGGTGATATTGAATTGGTAATCAACGTTGATGTTGTCGCGGTGGGTTTGTGCCAGCGGTTATTGTGGAGGATGAGGAGGACCCATCATGTTCCCATGGACAACGGCGTACTTACAAGGGCTCTGGATGGTTTATTTGATTCCTTTTTTGATTATTTAATTATTGTTTATTCTTCTTCCCCCATCTTCTATTTCATTCAAGGTGCCGTGAGTATACTAGTATTTGGTACGTTCGAACTATAGTTTACGGAGTTTCACCCTCGGAGTAGAGCCTGAGAGGAGTTTGCCGGAAAAAAAAAGAAAACGATTTAATTACTCGACTGTCCCCTTGGCACTCCGTTGCGCTCTACCGATAGTATGAGGGGAACAGCAGTCTTATGCTGCAATCTTCTGGTGACTGTATAAGTGCGTACCACGTAGCTATAGATAACGGGATGGACGATGTTGGAAGGTTTGTTGGCTGTGAGGAGGAAAGTGAAGAATGATATGATTGATCGGCTTCTATTTACTAGTGAGGGACTAGAGTAAACTTTAGTTCCATTCCGGTGGGGAATTCGATCGGACTTTAGACCCAGCGTCTCGAGTGTTTGTTCGGTTTGCGCAAAAGCTTCCGAAAAGAAAAGAAAAAAAGGTAAGGCATGCACTCCTGCAGACCAATCGTGATGGCTTCTTGTTTTCCTTCTTCGTTTTGCTTTACTTTGATTTTCAGTTTACTGTGAATAAACACTCAAAACGACTTCAGAGGCGCCGTTCTTACACCCGTCTCTTATCGCCCACCTCATCTTATCATTCACAGTTCAGAAGTAAACTCGAAGTTCCCCCCATCATGCCAGCTACGCCCTCCCTCATTTAAAGAACGAGTCCATATATCTCGCCACTACTTGTCGTGACACGTCTCTCTCTTCCAATACACTAGCAAGTTCTTCTCCACGAGAAACCTGCGGATCGATTCCATAAAAAAAAAAAAAAAAAAAAACAGAAAAAAGAGGCTTTTTGGCTGCCCCTCCTGATCGTTCCGACAATTTTGCGCAAAATGTCCAAGTCAACTCTCGCCGGGGCCGCGTCCGAAAAGGGTTCCAACAACACAAACGCGGCTCTTGGAGATGATGTCCCCGGGGTGAGCCATAATAGTAAATTTTCTGAAAGAAGTGGCACTAAATTGCTTCTTATCCAGCTTTCCGAAACATTACAGGGACATGTCGATGATATCCGCTCACTCTTACAATGTGGTATTTGCATAAGGCCACTGTACGAACCCTTCACCCTCGCCTGTGGACACACGTTCTGCTATAGTGTTTGTGGCCCTTGTGTGTATGACCCTCTTGGTAGAGTGCTAACTCTTTGAACTTTAGTGTTTAACGTCATGGTTTGCTGGCGGGAGGAAGAATAAAACATGCCCCGATTGCCGAGCTCCGGTCAAAACACCACCTGCCCCTGCATACCTGGTAAATAATCTGAAGGCCCGTATAACCCTTATTGAATGCCCCTTGTGTCTAATGCGCTACAGGTCCGTGCGGTCGTCCAACTATTTACGAGTCGTGCAGAGCTCTTAGAAAAAGGGGAGACGACGGCCGAGCACACGCGCCATCAGCGCGAGGAAGCTGAAAAGTTAGAGCATGATAAGAAGAACCCCCATCCCAAAGAAGGCGGATTATTCCGGGGTACATTTAACAAAAAAACCCCAACTGCGCAGCCCATCGTTGACCTGGAGGACAATGTCGTTCGCTGCCCGCGGTGTTCATGGGAGCTGGAAGAAGACTCGAATTGCGCACAATGTGGATACCGACAAGATGAAGAGTCGGTGACAGATACATCGGATTTAACCGATTCAACCGGTTCAATCTCAACCGATTCGGAGGAGAATTCTGAGATGACAGATTACATGGATGACGAACTCGAAGATGGATTCGGCGAATTAGACGATGTCGATTGGAACGGTTTCTATGATGGGGTTCCTATTGAGGGGAGGGCTGAAGATCTTCCCCATCATCTATACAGCATCATTCGCCATTATCATCACCACTCTCCCCCGCCTCACTCACACCGCCCTGTCTTTGCGCGCAATAGCCACTACGATGAAGCGTCTTCAACTGCTCATCAAACCGAAGAATCGACTGACGACTACTCGGACGACACAGACATGGACTCGTTTATTGACGATGATGAACACAACGAGCAGGATCATGACTCAGACTCAGACAGATCTACGGTAGTCGGGGGTCCTGAAATCCGATACTCGCCTGATCGATATAATGTCCGGTTGGGCTCAGAGGTAACAATGTCTCAGGCCGACGACCGTACCGATGATTCTTTGAGTGGCTTCGAGATCCCAGATAGCGAAGAGGATGAAGATGAAGATGAAGAAGATGATGAAGATGATGAAGATGATGAGCCTATCCGGCCTCCTGTAACGGGGAATCGTCGCCGCCAGTTTCCAGCTCCTAGTGGGGCTTCAGGCTTCTCTGTTTTTGCGAGTCGAATTCGGCAAGCTCCGAACGTGAATCCCTACGCGATGCGCCGGCAGGCATCGCGTAGTCAAAGTACAAACACAGCAGGAACTTCCGCCTCGAATGCAATAACCCTGGACGATGATTCTGACGAGGGCCCAGTTCGACCATTCCGAAGGAATTGTCGACATGTCGCTCGTTGACAATTTTTTAACCTTATATCAGATACGATTTGACGATAATCCCGGATCATTTTAAGGCGAATCTTATAGGACTCGTTGCCTATAGCTTTTTCAAGGGATGATAGGAGTAGGGCAGAGAACGGAACAGGCTGCATTAATGCGGCCACATCAGGGCGTGCGTTGCAGAGTTCGACATCCGTGTACTGGACTTTACTGGCTTAAAGGATATCTCTGGTCAGGATTCTCGATCACGCCCGACTAAGCCTAGCTGTTATAATTACACTTGAAGGGTTTGAAATATTAGGTCCCCAAAGGTATATGAGACTGGTACTGGCAGGGAGAAGGCTTTTCGCTCCACCATCCACTATTTGGCTCCAAAAAAAGAGTTAAAAAAAAAAAAAGATAGAGAGAGACCACACACATTCTATACCCTAGCTACTTTCTGCGTGATTCCTTTCTGGCTACCTTGTGCATTGGTTAGTTAGTCTTTTTTCTTTCTTATCTTAGCGGGCTTCTTTTCCCACGCCAACTTTAGCATGTATGTATCAACACCACTACTAGTTTGCGCTTCAGGCATTGCTACTAGTACATCATGGGACCAAACATGATGAGATTTTCTATTAAGACAAATATGCCTCTCAGGGCCTACATTAGTAGCTTCACGCTAATTATAGCTGATATGCTTACTCAAAATATTATACTATGGATCTCCGAATACTAGTGTTCCGGAGTCTTATTGTTCGCTTTGCATCTCTTAGGGCACGATTTACGCAAGTAGCGTCGAGAATATTATTATTATTATTATTATCTTTTATTTTATTTTTATTTTATTTTTATTTCATTTTATTATGTGTGTATGTACTTATTTATTTTCATTTTTTTTCCTTTTAAAGATCGACCATCGGTGATATACTGATCCTTTAACGGTGGTTAATTTTCGAAGCATAACCTGTTCAAAATTATTGCAGTACGCCTATATACAATCATCCGCGCGTATCAGGCCCAACGCCCTTCAGCCAAAGGGACAGCTTCCAATGCAGAGAACTTTTTTCTTCTAAGAGATATGTAAAGACCACCGTCCCGGGAATAGAATACAATGTAGAGAAAAAAGTGGATACATACGCCATGTCACAATAACCTCGTCCCGTTCCATGAAAACGCCTCACTTCGATTGAGGGTTACCGTTTATGAAAGGGACTTCGAATACAACAGCGCCATTACGGCCATCGGGTGTAGATCCCTCGTGGTAATTGTTCGCGAAGCCTTTCCAGCGGCCAAAGCGATGTTCCTTGCCCACTGCTGCGACAATGCAGAGACCTCGGGGCTCTGGTTCGGTGGACTTTGATTTGGGCTTGGATTGACCGGGCTTGCTGGTCTCCGCACGGCGTTCGAAAACTGCGATACCGTTGATGACGCCCTTGACAAGTGGTTCGGCCTCTTCTTTAATCTCCTCCAATTTTTGCTCTCGAGACCCGTTGACGGCCATCTGGTCTGAGTCGACTGGGTTGTCGAAGGCTAAAGATTGTTTCAGTTGTTGAGATGGGGTATCCGGTTCCGATGAGGCTCCGCCAATGGGACCCAGTGGGATGATTGTCTTCTTGTCTTCCGAGATTTTCCATGCGCGAATCCAACCATCCCAGCTGCCGCTAAGCACGATGTCGGTGCCTGGGAGCGTTGCCAGCGCAGTGATCCAGCGAGGGTTGCGCCGCATGTGACGGGCATTTGAAGCGGCTATCTTGGGGTCGACTTCTGAAGATAGCTCATCGAGCGGAGGTAGAGGGTCTAGACCGTGGGCGAGGGTTACTGTGTGAAGGGGTTTCTTTTTATGGATGGACCAAAGGGAGATCGCGCCAGAGTCTGAGCCGGTAACAAAGTGATTTGGGGGCAAAGGTGCCACACAGTCAATGTTGTTTTCTTGGTAGGAATGCTTGGAAGATCCTCCACGGAAGATCAGTTGAGACTCGTCTACGACCTTCCACAATCTGGCGGTGCGATCGCGGGCTCCGACACTGACACATTGATCGATTGCCATTGCAGCGAGAGAAGAGATATGGTCTTGATGGCCGAACAATGTCTCGACATATGCATGACCTGCGGTGCTCAAGGACCATGTTTTGATGGTCCGATCGAACGAACCAGAGAATAGTTGTTCGCCGGAGCTCATGGTAGAGATATGACGAGCAAAGGCAAGCCCACTGACCGAATCGCGGTGCTGTGTAAACGTCTTCAAGGGAGCCAATGTCTCCGCATCCCAGATTATCAATTTCCGATCCTCTCCGCCAGTGGCAACAAACTTTCCAGATGGCGATACGGCCACAGACAAGATATTCTTGGTGTGGCCATGCTCCTCATCACTTTCCGCAATCTTTTGCAAGCCCCGCGTAAACCTCACCTGCTTAGGCTTCTTCCGTTGTGGTCTTGGAGGGCGTTTCGATGAGCTATTCTGTCCATTTGCTGAAGAATCTGTGGTTGCGTGACTGGGGGTAGCAAGCTCCCATTTGATTAACGTTTTATCTTTCGACACCGTATAAACATAGGGTGCATGAACGGCAATGGACGTCGTCGACTGGGTATCTGCCCGGAAGAATGAGTGCGAGGCTGCGGATAAAGACAGGTCTGAGGCTATCTGACGATAAGTGCGTCCTTTGAACTCGTCCTGCGCTAGAAATCAGCTGTTGGCTGATCTCACGGGTAGCGAAAACTGATGGCACATACCACATCCTCCTTTAATCTCTCAGCAATTAAATCTCGATCAATTTCTGCTGCGTCAAAACCATATTCATCTACTTCTTCCCGAACATTATCCAAATATCTCTCAGCAAGCTTTAACCTCCGGTCTGCGGCCGTCTCTCCTTCGTCGGATTCCGAATCACTGTCCTCTCCTGAAAGTCCAGATACAATGCTCTCGGCATCATCCTCATCCAGGTCACTACCCGAGATTGATTGCTCCCGTTCCTTAGTCCTTCTACTACCCTTGGCGCCTGAATCTCCATCTGCATCAACACCTCGTTTCTTCGACGCGGGGGCTCCGGCGCGGTCTTCCCTCTTGCGCTTCCGCTGGGAAGCAGGTAGTGTGAAAAAGGACGACATAGCCTGGTATAACTAGCTGGAGTTCCGCGCAACAAGACCTCTGGCGCTATGCACAATCGATTGGGGCGGGTGGAAGCGACAGGGCTGTTCGGAATTCTTTTTGATGCGCAACTTACTTTCACTTTTTTTCTGCCGGTGGCCCGTGCAGGTGGAAAGCGCAACAACGTAACGCCTAATTGCTGACTCAGCCGGGCAGCTCTCCGCCTCAGGCTCGCAAGCACAGCTCCAGGCAATCAAGCTCCGCGCGGCGTGTAATGCTTGATTGATTCATCATCTTGAATCTCTTACTTTCCCTCCATCTTCCTCCCTTCTTGTACTTTTCCTTACCTCTATATCTTCTCGACATACACTTAAAGCTTGAAAATGTATGTGAACCTCCGTATATTGATGAGAATTCCCTCCGCTGATTGAAGCTTCTAGGGAGGTTCTACTGGGTATCACCGGCAAGGACTTTGTCCTGGTGGCAGCGTCCAAAGCCGCCATGAGGGGCCCAACTATTCTTAAAGCTGAAGATGATAAGACACGACAGCTCAACAAACACAGTCTGATGGCTTTCTCTGGAGAGGCAGGAGATACCGGTTCGTGAGATTACAGATGTGGAGATAGAGGGGTGTAAGCATGGCGCAGCTAACTTATTCCCAATACAGTACAATTTGCGGAGTATATTCAAGCGAACATTCAACTATATACGATGCGGAATGATACCGAACTCGGACCGAATGCCGTTGCCAACTTTGTCCGGGGAGAACTGGCGCGCAGTCTGCGATCTCGGAGTCCATACACAGTCAACCTGTTGCTCGCTGGTGTCGATGGAATTACCCAGAAGCCTCACCTGTACTGGATAGACTATCTGGCTTCTTTGGCACCAGTGCCATATGCCGCTCATGGTTATGCCCAGTAAGTTTTGAAGATCAGCTCTTTAATGCCAGATTGGCCGCTGTGGAGGAGCACGCAACTGAGATGCTTCAGGTACTATTGTCTCTCAACACTCGATAAACACCACCATCCTGATATTTCCCTCGAAGAAGGCTTAAAGCTTCTAGAGATGTGCACAGACGAGCTAAAGCGTAGATTGCCGATTGACTACAAGGGGGTACGTTGCAGGAGGATATTCCTATATATGTGGTACAATATTGGCTAACTGGCTTTCTCCAGGTTTTGGTAAAGGTCGTGACCAAAGATGGCGTGAGAGAAGTAGAATTTGATAATGACAAGATCGTCAAGAGTGCTTAATGCGGTGTTGTATATCATACCATTTGTGTCTTTTGTTTTCGGTTTATGGGACTTGGTTTTCAGACGATCGGTTGCATGGCAGGGTATTTTTCATGACTTTGACCAAAATGTAGTCTCGTCCACAATTTACTATAGGTAGAGACTAAGAGAAATGACCCTTTGGACGTTTGCTTCTTCGGTCGTAGTCACAATGCTCCACACAGGTTTGCTGACTGTATCATGTATGACGCTGTATGTACCGAGTGTTTGCTGTGTTTGCACTCCGCGGCCTCATCGTGTCTTCGCAGCTTTCAGTCCCGCGGAGCCAGAATCTTCGTTTTCTAATTCACCTTTACACAGAGTCATGATGCCCAAGAGACAAGCTGAGTTGTCGCTGGAGGGAGATACTGTCGCAGGTTCTCCCGCCATTAAAAAGGCGCGTGTGGAGGACGATTTCGAGGAAGGTGATCCGCGCCATGGAGCCCTTCCATTACGACGGGCGAGCGGCCAAGAGAGAGAGGAGGACGAGCGTAAGGGGAATGATATTCTAGCTGCTGCAGACCAGGAGCGTGAAGAATTGGAAGAAGCGGCGGTGGATATTGGTGTTGAATCCGATTTCGATGACGCCGACGACGACAGGCCTGTGATTGCGGCTCCCAAACGCCAGAGTGCACCTATGGAGGGCTACAGCGATCTTTATCTTGATACGATTAATCGCGAAATCCTCGATTTTGACTTCGAAAAACTGTGCTCGGTTACCCTTTCGAATATCAATGTATATGCGTGTCTCGTCTGCGGCAAATACTTTCAAGGCAGGGGCCCGAAGTCACATGCCTACTTTCATGCGCTTGAAGTTGGTCACCATGTTTTCATCAATATGGGAACTAAGAAGGTGTATGTCCTTCCGGAGGGCTATGAAGTTAAGAATAAGAGTTTGGATGACATCAAGTACGTGGTGGACCCGCACTATAGCAAGGAAGAGGTCTCCAAGCTGGACAAAGAGGTCCACGATGCGCTCGATCTCGCAGGTAATCGTTATAGACCAGGTATGCTTATAACCATGAAATGCTTCCCGTTAGAGCGTTATTAACCCATTACATAGGTTTTGTTGGTATGAACAACATCAAAGCCAACGACTACTTGAACGTAGTTGTTCAACTTTTGGCGCACGTTTTCCCAATTCGCAACTACTTTCTGCTACATGAGTTCCCAACACCGGGCACACCCCAATTAGCTCTACGTTTCAGCACGCTGGTGCGAAAACTATGGAATCCAAAGGCCTTTCGATCCCATGTGTCACCGCACGAGTTGCTACAGGAGATTGCTCTTCGTTCATCAAAGCGCTTTACACTGACCCAGCAGTCTGACCCGGTAGAGTTTCTGTCTTGGTTCCTAAACAACTTGCATCTTTCTCTTGGAGGCTCTAAGAAGCCATCCAAGACACCCACCAGTGTGGTTCAGGCCGCTTTCCAAGGTCACTTGAGGATTGAAAGCCAAGCAATCACCGCTCACTCAGATACCCAAAACGCTCGCCTAGTTTTTACGGAATCGGGCGACATTAAAAGCCAAACCACCCCATTTCTCATCCTCACGCTAGATTTGCCTCCTACTCCTCTCTTCCAATCCGCCAATCGGGAATCCATCATTCCCCATGTTCCTCTGACAACACTCCTAAACAAGTACAACGGCATCACTGCTTCAGAGAAGCTGGCTCATCGAGTCCGCCACCGTCTCCTTCATCCTCTTCCACCTTACCTATTATTCCATATCAAGCGATTCAGCAAAAACAGATTTGTATCTGAACGTAACCCGACAATTGTCACCTTCCCGTCACCCCGCTCTCTGGACATGTCGCCCTACGTAGAACCGAACCCGGACATTTGGCCTCCGGGCGAACCAATTCTCTATGACCTCGTCGCCAACATTATCCTGGACCCGACTGTAGCTGTTCCTGGTGCCACCGACGAGGCAGCCGCAGATAAGGGTGTCAATGCAGCATCTGGGGCATCATCGACCGGCGCTGGTGCGGGCAGCGAGAAGGTTTCCTGGATGGTCCAGCTTCACGACAAGGCTATGTCTGCAGAGAATAATCGACAACATAGCGAACGCGCTGGTGAACAACAAGGGCCAGAGTGGCTTGAGATCCAAGATCTGTTCGTCAAGAAGGCGGAAACTGAAACCCTATTCACCCGGGAAGGATATCTTATGGTCTGGGAACGGCGAAAGGTCCCGGGCATGAACAATCGGAAGGGGAAGAACTCAGCAAAGTAAATGCTAAGACAGCATAAATCACTTCAAATATATTCCAACGCCAACAGAGTCGGTACTAGGTACTAGTGTCAGTTCTTAATATGTGATATGTATGTATGCTAGTTCGTTCCCAGCTCGGTGTCATAGTACCGTTTGTATAATTAAGGTAATGATGATGGTAAGAAAAAAGTATCTTTGGATAATTTATCTTTTCTACGATATATGGAATGAAGTAATGTAAAAATAAAACCCGGTAGGGCCTTTCAGCATTGGCGATGCAATCATAGGCTTCAGTATTACGTTCTGTTATAACTATACATGATTCAACTGACCGAACAAATACAACTAGGTGGGTATCTATAATGGGAATTTCAACAAATTACTCATAATGTCCCCCATCCGCAGAACCTTCTACCAATCCTAATTGCTGTGCCTGAAATCACTCCCCACACACCAGCGTTTACAGCAGCGTGCATCCCCAACATAAGAGCTAATTTGCCCATGTATGCAAGCGTGTCAGACCGAGAGCCGCCACCGCCCCAAGCCCCTAAGGCGCGGACATTAGCAGCGGAGGACGCAGTAGATGACAGATAGGATGAAGCAAGAGAGCGAAGGTAAAGAGATTCGAGGGGAATGAAAAGTACGGTTGTAATCATTGATGCGAGGTGAGAGGCAAGAGAATCAACAGGATGAGACGATAGAATTGTTATCCGGTGGGCAGTCGAAGAATCTGTGTGCTCCGAAGGACCTTCGCGTGCAATTTGATCGGAGATACGAGGGTATATCCCTGATTCGAAATCGTTCTCCCCAGTTGGCTCCGCTTCGGAAGGATGGTTACGAGTGTCTTCCTGGCTGGGCGGCTCTTCCACACTTTCTGGCAAGATGTTGGCAAGGCTTGACGAGGGTCCTTCAACAGGAGATTCAGCGGTAAAAACACCTGTTTCTCCAGCTTGTTGCTGATTTTGAGACCCCAGACCTAGCACATCTTCCCCGTTTTCAGGAGATGCACCTGGCGTCATGTTTGAGAGACCATCACTGTCCACGGCATCCGAATGGACAATCGTTGAGAGGCTTTGATTTTGGTGGGTCAAGATTGTGTCCAGGAGCTCCGTAATAGAGCGGCGATGACCTGTCTCGCCATTAGAAGTTGGGAAGTCAATATCGTTACCAGGCCGAGGACGCAACTGGCCCTGATTCTGGGCATTACGGTTGCCCAAGAGTTCCAGCTGCATAGTGATGATATCAGAGTTCTGGTGAATTAGAGAAGCACGAACGTGAGGAGAAGTTGGTGAAGACGTTTCGGGTGATGATTGTCGAGAGAAAAGGGTGTTCGAGCGCGAGTTCCGCTGGCCTTCGTGAGCATCGTTTTCATCAAGCGCCTCGGTGTTTACGGCAGGTGAACCATCAGTAGCGGGAGTAATATCACTTGTACGACTCAGTGGAACCATCTCTGAAAGACCACTAGTACTCATCTGTGCTGGCGACTGATGAATCGGATCTTCTTCATTCGATAGCACACGGTCTCCGCTGAAGTCAAATCCGGAATCGGGTACTGGGGCAGTAACAGGTGTACTGGGTTGACCAGAGCGTGCGGCCTCATGAGCCTGAACAACCTCCTCTGGAGCTGGAGGTACTGCTTGTTGTAAGCGGCGAGTTCGGTTTTGTCGTTCGTTTTGCAGTTGTTCAACGCTCATAGGGAGAGATTCAAGCCACTCTCGCCTGCGGCGGGACTCCGCAGCTTGCTCGGGAGCTGCTGAGGTTCGCTGCATCTTAAAGCCAAACCACGATAGCACCCAACTCTGAAGAAATTTTAATTCACACATGAGATCTTCAAGCAAAGAAAGATTGTTGCGACGGTTCTCTTCTTCTGATCTACGCCCAAGGGTCGGGGCCATCCAATCGATGAGGTCATTCTCGAAGGCCACTTTGATGGACAGTTCATCTGCGAGGGTTGGCTTTGGTAGTCGTCGGCGAATTAACCGGTAAAGCCTTATCTCTATGACTGGTCGAAGATATACGTAAAGGTAGACGAGAAGTGGAGGGGCTTTCAGGAAGCTCAAACAGAAATCGCCCAGGGACTGCAACGTGAAGGCTGGAGGTAATGGTGGAAATAACACAGTAGTAAGTTCTCCAAAAGGCGCCAGAAACCGGATTCCTGGGAAGCTATACGGATGAACAAGGTGAAGTGATTGTAAGAGCGAATACACATAAGATTGTATAGCTAGGACAAGTAATGTCCCCCGAGACCTATACAACTATTAGTTTCTTTGTCACGCCATCCGAAGCCTCTGGACCCCACTTACGCAGAATGTAGAATTGTGAAAGATGACCGCACAAGCTTCGAAAGTACGTCATTGCCAGGAAATCTGTCTTGCAATGAGGAAATTAAGCGCTCTAGAGGATGGTGTCGGCAAATTGATAAACACGTCGAAAGAGCCCATGCTGGAATCCCCGCAAAGTAAAACCCCAATATGCCATATGAAGCACGTTCATGGGCTATAATACCCATCAGGGGAATATGAGTGTAGCTTCTGAATGTCTGCAGAAGACATGGATCAACTCTCTGGATAATGTAAATCTCTCACCTCACCAGACTAAACTTACCTGTATCCGGCCTGTAAGTGATGATGTCCACCACGAGCCTAAGAATACCGAAATCTGATCTAAAGTAGCCATAACCAGTCCATAATCATTCTCGGCAGCTATCATAGCGATTTTCTGCTGCTCACTGAGGCCACTCGCACTGCCGTCCTCACTAACAACGATACCCATCGTTGAGAGGATGTCATTCTTAGCTCTCCGCAGCTCTCTCCCGAATGACTTGGACTCAGGATTGATGGGATGCCCCCTCTCATCATAGTGTTGAGCATACCCATCCGCATATCGAGGAGATACCCTCTGTTGGGTTGGGTTGCCCAGGTCCGCCGTTGGATCTACAGGGCGTTCAGGAGCTTCATATGGAGAACGACCCTGGACATTAATAGTCAACCATCAGGAGCTTAAAAATTATAACACACAATAGAATAGTAGAATATGATATGATCATGTGGCTCTATAGAGGGCATGGCGATGATACAAGCAGACAGTGCTTCATGTTTGACATCCTAACAGTACATAACTTTGTAAATGTCACACGCAGAGATTTGACGGCCAGTATTTGATAGAAGCAATGAACAAAAGCGTTTTTGATGAAGTTATATAGAGCTAACACAAGCCAAGAGGATAGCAACGGATAGAGAACTGGGAGCCTACCAAAGCCAATCTGTTTAAGTACGCCTGTCGCCCCATGACGTATAATGATAAGCAGACTTTTTATATACCTTTCTAGGTCATTTTTTGGAAGGAACGGAGAATAAGATATTGACAATCAAGATGATGTTATCGGATGGACATTGATGTTATTCACGTGGGCGCCTGCAGCGCCTGCGGCGCCTAAAGCACGGCCCCGCTGTGATCGGCCTTTTTTGAGACAAACAAGACAAACGCCTCAAAAAAAGAACAAAAGTTTCGGAGAGACAGTACTTTCAACTACATTGGAGCGATTCAACCCACCTATACTATACAGTTTATCTTGGATATATGATGTCGCGATAAATTACACGGCGACATTATTTCTGAGATCCGCGCGCGAAAATGTCTAAAGCTGTCGTTAAGACGACCTTCGAGGCGTCTCGGACTTTGCGTCCCATATACACCGGAGGAAGTACTGCGCTAGATGCCAGTGGACGTTTGCTTGTAGCTTGTGTGGGCGAGGATGCTCTCATTGTAGATCTTGAGACTGGTGATCAGCTCGCAAGCTTGGAAGGCGTGAGTCTTGCTCCTATTTGCTCATGTGCGGTATTATCGCAAGTTTCTAACTAGAACTATAGGATGGAGAGATTATCACCAGCTTGGCTAGTGAGTTGCCCATTCTACATTCTAGCACTCTTCCTGTTACATTATAACACATTCAGGTGGAGCATATCTAACCATATCCTAGTCACGCCATCTGCCTCACATGTGGTCGTTTGCTCGCGGTCAATGTCTATGCGCATTTACTCGTTGTCTCCCTTCGAAGATTCTTCACGGACTCTCGACGCGAAGCTTGTGAGAAGCCTCAAACCCCATACTGCACCCGTTGTCACAACCGCTATCGACCAGACTGGCACGCTTCTGGCAACCGGTGCTTCTGATGGCTCAATCAAGGTCTGGGACATTCGAGGTGGTTATGTTACGCACACTTTCCATGGACATGCTGGTGTCATATCTGCTTTGTGCTTCTTCCAGGTGCCATTTCAGGATAGCGAAAACAAGTCCTCTTCGAAGAAAAGGAAATCTAAGAGGAAGTCGGATGATTCTGATTCTGATGAAGACATGGAAGATGTCGCCCCTGTCGCCTCGATTGGAGGATTTCGACTTGCTTCGGGCAGTGAGGAGGGCAAAGTACGGGTCTGGGATCTGAACAAGCGAAAATCTATAGCGTCACTTGATTCTCATGTCTCGGTTGTACGGAGCTTATCGTACTCGCCTGCAGAGAATGCATTGCTCTCAGCTGGCCGAGACAAGACGGTCATCGTATGGGATGTCCGCACCTTCAAAACTCGCAGAATTATTCCTGTCCTTGAGAGCGTGGAAGCGGCTGCCTTTGTTGCTGACAGTGGGCTCGCTCTAGTAGGAGGTGAAAATGGAGTGCTGCGTGTATGGGATTGTAACCGGGGAGGAGAGGTAACCCAAGAGCAAGAAGCTGCTGCCGAGTTCGAGGCCATCGTGGCAATTCAGTACACTCCCGGGATGCCATTCGCAATGACAGTGCATGCTGATCAAACCCTGAGACTTCATTCACTTGAATCCTTGTCGGATTTCAAGCCTGGATCTTCGCTTGATCCCCTGCAAGTCATAAGGCGCATATCAGGTAACGACGACGACATTATTGACCTTGCATATGTCGGCCCAGATCGATCAATGCTGGCGCTGGCTACCAACACTGAGAGTGTTAGACTGGTTTCGGTGGGACGATCCGTAGACAGGCCATCTGATAAAGGCGAGGATTATTTTGGCGCAGATATCGCTCATCTTGAAGGCCACGACGACATTATCATATGCATTGATGTGGACTGGTCTGGCCATTGGCTGGCGACGGGCGCGAAAGATAACACAGCTCGTCTATGGCGTCTTGATCCCAAGATGTCCACC